GAAGTTTAAAAAAACGAATATAAGAAATATAGTGAAAAAAGAATAAATGAAACTTCGAAATAAGCTCTCCGTTGTTTTCCCTATCCAAAATGCGACCATTTGAACTTTTCAAATTATATAGTTCAGTTACAGTAAAGAACAATCGGTACTATCGAAGGTAACGACGAAAATGAATTCAAATTGATCGGGAACTTCATAATTCCATTTTAATGTATTTGGCTGAGTCTGGCGTCTTTAAAATTCTTCGACGATTGGAGATCATTAAAAACAAAGACTGTGTAGTCCATTCACGGCTGGCTTGGGACACCGAACGGACGGTTCAACTTGCGCGGCGAAGATAGATCGGAGCGACTCCTCATGCGGTTTCAATAAGAGCCTCACTTCATGAATTATTTCTGATTCGGTTGAATTCAATTTTTCTCCTTATTTCCATTGTTTTCAGATATGTGAATCGAAGAATCACAAAAAAAAAGTCATAAATTGGAGCTCTTATGGAAGGGGCATGGGTAGTCTCCCTGATCTGGCTTCGGCGCGCCAGTGAAACCGTCTGTTGGCCGTCCAAAGGCAGTATGAACTATTTTCGTGAGAGTTCGGAGCTCGAATTTCGACAGATCTGACTTTTAAAATATTTTTCAGCGGAGGACCAACTATTTCGAACTTTCTTTTATTATTAGAGTTCTTCCTTCTTACCACTGTACAGGTTGGCTCAAAATTACCCGCACAAGCTATAAGTGCTATATAAAAATAAGTAAAAGTCAGAAAACCATGGGAATCAACAAAAAGTTTATTCATGATCATAACAACAATTATAAACTACTCGTGTTCCATCCGATCTCCTCTCTTTCCGATGACAGCACGAAGACGTCTAGGGTACGCGTCGATGGTTGCACGCAGGTAATCTGGCGACAAAGTGTCTCATTCCTAGACCAGGGTCTTCTTCAGGGCCTCGATACTCGAGTGGGGTTTGACGTTGACCTTGTTTTGCAAAACCCCAGAAGGAGTAGTCCAAAGGATTGAGGTCTGGTGAAAACGGTGGCCGTTAGTCCTTCGGGATGAACGCAGGCAAATGGGTCTCGGACCACTGTTGCGACAACTTGGCTGCGTGTGCTGGAGCACCGTCTTCTTGGAGCATCCAGGGACGTCTATTGAAGTCCTTCTGAGTCCAGGGGAAGAAGTGTCTTCTTCAAAATCTCCGAAATGTAGACTTCCTTGTTGATTTTTACTTCTTGATCGACAAATACCAATGGTGTTTTGCCATCAGCAGACACTGCTCCGAAAAACCATCACACTAGCGGGGTGAGAGGCTCGATGAATGGTCCTTCCGTTGCCAAAAGCTTCGTCAGACGTCTTAGCAAGTACTCGATGATTTTGAGGGTTGAATTCGGCCTGTACCGTGATCAGCTTCTCGTCAGAGAACACTGTAACCAAGTGTTCTTCAGTGCGCGTGCGCTGAAGGAGCTTTATTGATATTTCAAGCCGTTTCTTGGTTGTAGCTTTCGAGAAAATGGCTGCTTTTCTTACATGATAACAGGTGAGCTTCAGCTTGTCTTTGAGGATCCTTTCCATCGAACTTCGACTAATTTTCATATCTTTCGCCATCTTTCTGATGCTCCGGACTGAATTTCTTCTGGTTCTCTCTTTCACAGCTTTGATCCGATCTGGAGTGACGACTGTTGCTTTTCTTCTTCTCCCACATCTACCCAAGAACGTGCCGAGCTTTTTGAAACGAGAAATCGAGTCATAGACGGTTCTACTTGGGACTCCGAGCCGTTTAATGATGTCAACCGGAGCGACTTCTTTTTTGAAAAGGTGCAGAATCGAAGAGCGATGTGGATTTCGAAAACAGAACCGATTGATCAGAATTTTGGCAGAATGGTAAAAAACATACAGTTAATCAAAATTTTAAGTAATACGCGGCCAGAATTGCGTCGATCGCCTTTCTATATCGTGTCAAACTTTTGTGCGGGTAATTTTGAGCCACCCTGTACATGATTAAATCTTTTTCTTTTGTACAGAATTAATTCAACCAACTTTCATGAAAATGTACAGAGTAAAGTTGATTTTCTGAAGCAGCATCTTCGTTCTCGTACATTTTTTAGAAATATTTATGCAAAGATAGAGCAAAAGCGGGAAAAGAGCCTTAAATTCACAGCTTGGAAAACTTTATTATTAAAAAAACATAAAGGAGATCAATTGAAAGAGATTCGGCCTTCCAGACGACTGCCGGCGACTCTTGAGAGCACGTCGTCCTGAAGCCCGGGTTGTTAAGAAGTCCTTGCAACTGTTATGTTACCTTTGTGTATTTTGTTTCTTCTTCCTGTTTTCGACGGCGCTTTCTGAAATATACCTCTTGCAAAATTTCCATTAAAACTGTTAATAAAAACTGAACTCACATTTCTTTCGACTCATCGCTTGTCAAGGATGTCGAGTCATCTGCACCGTATAAAAAGCCGCTTTTTACCGCTCCTCGGCCCTTAATTCGATTTTAACAGGTGTTTACTGGCAGGCTATTGTACTTACTCGAACCTTAACCGTTTTTGGCATCTCAAACTTGTCTTCTTTCTTTTCTAGAGATTTTCGGGCTCCTCTTTTTTCGCTGTCGTCAAAAAATCTGAAAAAAGAGCGAAAAATGATTATTCAGATGATCCATCACTGAACTGAGAGACTGAGACATAGTTTCATGAGAATCTTTAAACAATAAGCAAAACAAAAATCTTTACACAATTAAAAAAAAATGTGCGAGAAAGAGTTTTCCACGTCTTTGCTTCTTTCTTATCAAGCTGTTGGAAAACGTATCATGTATTTTTTCAATGAACATTTGATAGAAAGGAGAGGTATAACCTTCTTGTCAGATTTCAGAACGAAATACTCAAAGGAGGATGAAAAAAACCAAGAATAAACTCGACACATTTTTCAATCTTTAAAAGTCGATAGTTGTTTTTTGACCTGGTGTCGTGCTCATAGTCCCATTCTAGCTCGTTTCCGTCCTTGTCGAAGATGTTGAGGCCTGGACGCACGCGGTCTCCGCTCGTCCAGAAACCTAATATTCTTAGTAACAGAAATCAGGATCCGTTTATCAACCGTTGTCGATGACTTTCCGTTTCTTCGCCAACGATTCATCAATTTTATTGATGCGTTTTTTGCGTGCCGCCTGAAACGCGAGAAGATGAAGTATTGACAAAGGTGCGGAAAAAAGTACTTCAACTTGATTTGTGGTTGCATAACGGACGATGAGGAAGCGTTGCTGGGCGACGTGCTGGGTAATGACGCGCCAACGTCCATGGGGCACATCAACCACGTCCACGTCTACTGTCACGAACTCCTTGGACACTTCGCGCGGCGGTCGATCTTAATTTCGAGACTACGAACTTGATAACTGTTTAAAACTCAAGAAAGAGCTTCTCAGTTCAAGTTGGCGAATTCTGTAAAGAGCGCGAAAAAAAGTTGAGACTGAAACGAGCTGAACTGCAACTTTCTTCTCGTCCCATCAATAAAGAACCTTATTGTATTCAACACAGGAAAGAACTACGCCCTCGTTCAGGAGGTGTCAGAACAAGCAAAGAAATTCTTGTACCATTTCGTTCGACTCAATCCGTTATGCAAATCGATTAGTCGATAATACTGGACGCATCGTATTTGTAGACGCGACTGATTATCCTCCGATATTCACACGGTTATTTCATCTAAGACCAAAGCCTTCGTGAGCGCAAAATGGTCCCCGCCTGCAAAGGCAGGCCAATTTCGGCGCTAGTTTCTGGAATACTCTTCTCTCAGGTCGTTACACTGAAAACGTCAGCACTTTTCTCTCCTTTCCATGACTTTGTGGGTCAACCTTTTAGATGAAATTTGAAAAACTTATTCCAGTGCAGGCAGCATTCAAACTTTTCTCACCAACTTTTTTTCTGTCTTACAGGCTTAGACTAGTATGCTCCTCATTCAGAAAATTGTAAACGTAAAACTTGCGGGAGGCAGACTTTTCGTTGTTTCATAAGACAAATTACAAGCTTTCCTTGTGACTATAAATGGCCGAAAGTCCAAGCCCCGGTGAATATGTACGTGCACTCGAGGATTTACTACTCAATCGCAAGAGAGACGACGGACAGGAGATGAGATTCCAATGTATACACAAGGATGAGTGGTCTTTATGTAAGGCGAGAAGAGAGTTGTATCCAAATAAAATGTGCTTTGTTCGACAACCGCCCCGACGAGCGCTGTGTGCACTAGGCGACGTGCTCCGCAATTTCGGTCGCCTCGAGTCCATTGTCCGCGAATTCTTTGAGCATCGATTACCTACCCGATGGGACGTTCCTGTGCGGTGTAGGTTACTTCGCTCTTCACAGCAGAGCAGAAGCGTCAATGATATCATTAGGTTACTTTTTCTTCAACTTATCCGTTTTTGGATCTAATACAATATTATAAAAAGTTACTAACAAGCCAAAGTTGAAAGGAGAAATGTTTAAAATTCCTTAAACTTATCTTTAATCAAGCTCAAAGAATCTGAACCAAGATCGATTTTTACTTCAACTTTTGCAGTCTAATTTTACCCTTTTTGTGTGCTTGTGTTTATGGAGAAACGACGAGAAGTAAACGAAACACAGTAAAACGGCCAAAAATTTGTTTAGACGGAAAATGGCGAACGTCCCGCCTAAACAATAGATATTTCCTAGCAACATAACCTTTATAGTTGCCTTTTTTTACAAAAAAGCCCATACATTCTTATCTATGATGAGAAAGCACAGTTATTGCAAAAAAAAAGTTTTGGAAATTATTCCCTAATAACTGTCTCCCGAAATGCCTACGAGGGAGTAACTGGAGAAGGCCTTTGAAATATATTTCTAGTTATTTTATATTATGGACTTTTACAAACCAGTGTAAAAAAAATGTGAAAAGCACTTCAAAAATAGAAAAACCGATAGATAGACTCATTAACGAAAAAAAAAAAGAGATTTTTGATTTTCTCTGGGAACACAGTACTCCAAACTTCTTTTTGATATGGTTTTTTTTACGAATTTCAAAACTTTTCAAACTATGCCCATGGATTTAAACGATGAACAAAGACTTCATTTCTGTTCAGACTTTCGAACCAAAACTCGAACTGCCCTCGTAACGAGTACACCGATGCATTCTGCTCACGCATCAGTATAAACAAACAAAGGATCGACATAAATGTCGGTGAACTGGTCGCTCCGTCGCTGAGCTGTGCCAGCTGAGTCAACCCCGACAGCGAGGCTGCTGGGCGAAACCGCGGCGAGTCCGTACAAGATATAAAAAATCAGAAAACGAACTGTCATCGTCGACAACTGCTACGTCGTCGCCTCTTTCGCTCATTATTTGGCCTTCCTCTTCTTCGCCCTCTGAAATTACTTCGCCTTCTTCATCGGCACGTTTTTTGGCTCGCACCCGTCGCAATGCTTTCGTCATGTTCAGAAGCATCTGAACAGAAAATCAATAAACAAGTATAGAAAAAAATACTTTCGGCAAAATCCCATTTTGGGCTTCGCACAACATAATTTGATTGAAGAAAAAATAATATTGATCAATACCATCGTGGGAAAAAAAAAATCTCTGACGATTTCATAAAAAAAAACTCCCACGAGGAGGGAAAAACAAACAGCGGCGGCGTCGTGTCGCGTCATGAAATGTACAAGTGCGGAGGTATCGTCAAGTCGATCGAGTTCTGCGTTGTGAAAGGTTGAGAACATTCTGAAGTAGAAGGTTCATCGACGACGAAGAGCGTCGAAACCTCTCGATTTGATAGTCCTGCATGCCATCGACGCCTTTCACGTACACCGCTCGCAGGTAGGTGTCTCCTCCCGTTGCACCGAGCTCCTTCCGCAAGGCGGCCACTTCAGCCGTCGACACCGGAAATCATAGGTGTCTGATCGTTAGTCAGATCTCATGCGTTTCATGAGCACAAGATTGTTCCTAATAACGACCGCAACGCTTTAATTCATGAAAAAAGATCATACCAAGTAGAGTCTTCATATTTGAGCGTCCAGGAGGAGAAATAAAGAGTTTTGTTTTAAATTTCGGTGGACAGCAAAAAAAACATCCCAGAGCTGCTGACGGGGCGCCCCGTTATCTCCAGCAGTGGCCCCGCTGAGTATATAAGTTGAAATGAAGTTTAAGTGAAAGAATCCGCAGAAAAACGGCTAATGAAGAATCTAAAAGTGGAAGAAAACAAAATTTTTATTCATAATATTGAGAAACTGTGAAGAGATATTGTGACAGTGTGAGGGGGACGCCCCTGTTTTGTCAGCAGCTCTGGGATATCCCATATGCGAGCAAGCAGAAAAAGACTTGATAGACGTGATGCTGTAAAAAAACGTCTTATTTTTAATTTTTAATTATCATTCATCACGTTTTGTTTTTTTCTTAAAAAAAGGTTTTCTCGCAATTGATCGCCAGAAGGTAAGCCGTTTCATCAGAGACTCAAAAATATCTCCAATGAAACTGGTTGCCAACCTAGGAAACTTCCTGGTCTTCCCTAAAAAAACTCATTTCCACTAAAAAAATCCAAAAATGTCTAGTGTTATCTTCCTTTTCTAATTACTCCTGCTCTGCCAAAAATCTGAATTCTCCAAAAAAGATTTTTGCAATGGTAGTACAAAATTTCGAAAAGGAGAAGTGGTTTAAGAGCACGACGCGAGGCGCCAAAAATAATTACAAGGCGTGATCTAGACTAATTTCCCACACCGCGAAACGTCCCCGGCCAGCGTTTTGACCGAAATCATACTTTCCCCGTCTAACTTAACGGCTTTTCAGTCAATCAGAGGCTTCAGGAAAAAAAAAAACTAACTACGAGGATTAAATGTCTCTACGTTTCTATTATTTTGAAAAAGCCGGAAGGGTAAAATATTTTAGGATCGTTATCCTCAAAGTGATCACTCTATCCGAAAGGAAAAAAAACAACATAAATTGGGAGAACCAAAATGATGCTCAATATTTTCAATTCACTCCATAAACGACGACTTCAAAATGTCAATCCTTTTGGACAGCTTTTCCATGGTTTCTAGAAAGGGAAAAATGAGCTGAGTCATTGTTGAAAAATGAAATTTTTTTCGAAAATCAACTCAACTGATCGATTAGATTAGAACTATTTTTCCATTTTTTTCAGTTCTCGAGCTTCCCATGACTCATAGTCGAAAAAATCAACAATATTTTTTTTGATATTGAATATACATTACAGAATAATTATGAATATACAACTTTTTCGTCGAACCGGCATTCATTTATTCACTCAAAAATACAAAAAAATCTTGTTCGTATTTCGCATTCACCTTTTTTTTAATCTCCTCACAAATCAATATAACGAAATCCATCAAAACTTCGCAAAAAAAGATTCGCCAACTGTCCAAGTTTTTTATCATGGTACGTTGTAAATTGTGAACTTTGAGAACTACTAAAAAAAGCCTTGAATAGAGGGAGAAGAAAGCATTTTCTGCTCTGCTGCTCTAGCTGGAAATCAAAGAAGTCGCGTAACCGCAGTTTTTCTATGCCTCAGTAATTACAAATCTAGGACTAACTCGGAAAATTTTGCGCGGCTCGATGCCGAACGCCTCGGCCGTGTGACGTTCTTCCTCTGCGTCGTCTTCGTCGAGTGGCTGCAAAGCGAATTATAACAAAACTCGATTTCAACCCCACATGGCCACTACCACTAAATTCTTCAAAATCATGGAACTTAATGTTTTATATATTTTGAAAAAGATTGTCCTTCAAATGGTCCTATGCTACAAAATACGATTTTTTGACTCGTTTCCAGAATTTTTTCTTTGGGTGTACATAATGTACCACTTCAATTACTGAATTCGTATTTCTTCAAGTAATTTTTTTCTCACAGAACATTTTATTAGGTATATACTTGCGCTCATAAAAGATTCTGTGAACCTTTTTTCGTACAAAATTATTTTAGATTAATAATTTTTTAAAGGAAACGGAGGTTTTGGGAGGCGGAGCAACAAGTCGAGGTCTGAAAGTCAATTATTGCTGATTGGAAGTTGGACGAGCGACGGAAATGTATGAATGCAAGGCGTGTCCGTGACGTGTCGTTGCGTGCGAGAGCCTCACGTCCTTTCCGTCATGCTTCTTTGGTCCACAGCGCATTAAACATGGCCACACCATTCCTGCCGCCAACATCCCTCAAAAAGTTTCCTTTAGTCACTTAGGCTCTGAACGCCGATGGAGCAACTATTTCATCAAAGCCGTTTTCCTCATTTTCGATCCTAGCTAGCAAGCAAATACAGGGATCTACAATACGTAGAATCTTTGAATGATTCTCTGACTTTCGATCTGGAAAGGTTTTTTTTTTCCAAAGCATGCCTGCAGTGGCAATCGAGAGAACAAGCTCGCGCAAGATTTTATTATCTTTACGGACACATCTCATTAGTACGCCACTTCTACGCCAGTCACTGAGAGTCAAGCACGAGCGCTCATGAGTCTAGCCGTAGATGAACAAAAAGCTTATAAGGATGAATATTTCTGTTTGGAAACTCAACATAAGCTTTAAAATAATTTGATAGAATTGAATGACCAATTCTTTATAAACTGGCTGTTCGTTGAAGTTGTCTCTTTACGCGGTAGACCAGCCTAAGTCACTGAGACTTTTCTAACTACTGAGACAGAGGTAGAAGTAAGACTTCTAGGCCGACGACGACCACAATCGCAGCCACTCGCCTTTGCGGCCCTCACACGCGATGAGTCGAAACATGCGTCTTTCGGCATGTTGAACCGCCCAAGTGGCACACACACGGCAACCAACGCGTCAATATATAATTGCTGCGCATGCCGCCCATCGACACATTTTCCCTGAATGTTTCTTGTCCCCTATTTCTATCCATTTTTTCAGAGTGACACAAAAGCGATTTCCAGAACATAAGCATTAATCATGAGCTTTAACAAAAATCACAAATGAGCGAGAAAGTTTAGCGTTCACTCGCACACCTGAAACTTTGCTCACCTACGCATCAAAATCGAGGTTGAGACGAAAGGTTCAGGCGACGCGTGAGACACAGTACTAGTGTGCTCTTTGTAAGAGATTAGCTGAAGAAAAGCTCTCAAAAATGTTTAATAAGTGCTGCAAGCAGATCAGCAACATCTGGACAATGATAACATTGATGTGAGCGGGAAACAAAAAGCAGACGCAAAGGCAAGAATACAGCCTGCCGGCAGATGAAACGCTCCATCCCAAAACGTCAGTTGGAAACAGCTCAAGCAAAGGCCGTCGGAGGTGGAGAATCGAGCGAAGAATAAGCAGCAAAATAGGAAATTGACGGCGTGCTGCAGGCGCAAGGCACGTCGCACACCACACACACACAGTGAGGAGCGAGAGGACGACGGCGAACGGCGGGGGCGGTGCCAGAGGTCCAACCTCCTCTCTTTCAGCTCGCCACGCCCGAAAACCAACCGGCGGCATTTCCTTCTATGGGTCTCCAACTATGCTCATCCAAGCATTTCAACTAGACCTCCACAAATTCTGTTCCAGAAACAGGTCGAACCTTGAAAAGGGCTGAAAAAGTTGTCTGAAGAACAGCTTCATCCTTGTTTATTTCCAATTACGGAGGAAGTACGGAATCGTTTTGGAAAAGTTGCAAAAAGAAAAATATCCTCAAATAGAAAAACTGAAGAGAGTAATTTCGAGAGAAAATTTTCACTAAGCAAAACTGAATTCGATTTATGACGAATCATTTGTTCTCTTTAAAAAATACGTTATTAAATGTGAAACGGTCGTGGGAATATTTCGAGGCCAAAGCAGAAAGAAACCAGACGAAATACAATACAGATACGTCCCATGTTTGCTTTGAAATTACAACAGCGTTGCGCATTCATGGAAAAAGATTCTCCTCGCTACGTTGGGCCGTGAAACTTATGAAGACACCATCTTCAAATTGCGTTGTGACTTATAGTTTTGAATGGCGGAAAGAAGGCCGCAGACAGGATAGCGACCCGGTATTCAACCGTAACTCCAGGTAACAAAGAAATGGCTGAAGACGCGCAAATTATTGAGCGGGCACACAAGTCTCATTCGAGTTGAATTATTTATCGAAGAACCACAATTACGGTGGAGTCAGTGAGTCGCAAACATGATATAGTCCCCACAACAACCAGGTTCATCGTCAATCAGAAATCCAAGTTTACAAAACGAAGTTTTATAAAACGTCAAAAAGACATATTTTCAAAGAAACGTCGCTGAAATTGAGCAGGCAGAACTCTAAAACAGAAAAAGTGATTTTTTTTTTTCAAATTTTCTTCATGACCTTCACTCAACACTGATATGACCGATTGAGTAAAAAAATGAGTTGAATAATGAATCGGTTCTCAACTGGATAAGAACAAGGTTTAAAAAAAACCAATAAAAAAACCAGCTTTCGAAGCCGCAAGGAAAGTTTAAAAGTTGAAATTTCTACAACTCTCTCTTTTTTGAACAAGAACTTGATCTCTGAATTAATAATCAAAACTCTTCCGTAGCAAACTTTCTGATATTCTAAAGTAAAAAATCGTTTGAAAAAAAGTTTCTAGAAATAGAAGAAATATAGTCAGATCTTGGAGAGGTGAACAATACTTGTAATTTTGACAATATTCAGCCTGTAGTGGTGAAATATTTCTGACGCCAAACTAACAAACTAAAAACCAAACTAACAAACTAATACTTTACAATTCAACAAAAATTTTATAACGAAAGGGTTTGAAATTAAGATAAATGTAATGGAGATATACTTTACAGAATTTTTATTTTGTGGAAAATATTCAGAAAATTGTTGAAAAATAAACGTTTCGATATTACTCATACTTTCGATCGGTCTTTTTTTATCCATTCTGCAGATTTCGTTAGTTTTGTTATTCGAATATTAATTGAAAGTGATTTTAAAATTATTATTTTGAAGCATACTTCGATGGGAATGTCGTTCCTTGAGTGTCCGCATCTTCGTGGTGATCTTCATCAAAGTGTCCGTCGTAGTCGTCGCCGTAATCGAGCTCTTGATCATCCATTTTCTGGAAAAAATAAGATTTGTGGGACAAAACAACATTTAAATAACAAGAAAAAAAGTCGATGAAACAAAACGGTAAAAAAAAGGAATCTCACTAGAGAATGTGGTTTTAGCCCCCGGTTGGACTTTTTGGCAAAAACCTTGCTGTAGTGTACTTTATTACTTCCTGATTCCAGTACAAGAAAAAAATTGCTCTCAATATACCTGGTTTTCGATTTAAAACGCTTTAAAAACATACAAGGCACTGGAATCAGGTCCTAAAGTGTACTTCAGAAAAGTTTCATCAAAAGTTTAACGGGTGGCTAAAAACGTCCGCTCAATAAAGAAACTTGAAGGAAAAAGCATCATTTTTTTTTTGAGTATCATATTGAACTTTGCAGCTAACCAAAAATTTTCGAATTCGGTAGTTAAGTACAGATTTTATGATTTTATGAAAATTTTATCAGTCAGTAAAGCTTTTTAAGAACCTTAAAAGAAAAAAAAAAATTTTTTTTCGAAAAAGCTTCGAACATAAATAACACAAAATTGTATTTGGTTCAACTAAAAAAGAAGTAGATGAATACACAAATTCTGGGCATAAAATTTTTTTTCGAAGAACAGTCTGAATCAAATTAAGTTTAAAAACAGTCAGAAGTTTTTCAAACGTTTAAAAAAAATACAGATCGGTAAGCTCACTTTATTGGTCTAAGGTCAAGTTCTGTGAGCACAGAGCTGCCTTTATAGTAAAACATCAAGAGTTAGAAAAACAAAAAAAAAATTTACAGAGCTCTTCGTAGAATCTTTGAGAGCGTCCTAAAACTCGGTGAAACAAAACTGTCTGGATTAGTAGACTTTTTTTAAAATTGTTGTTTATATAATTTTTTGACACAGCATCACCCAATATTGCGAACTATATCGCAGCGAGAGTAATGCTTTACCGCGGGGGGAGCCGCGAGCAATATCGCTCGCTTCTTGCTGCAACCTCGCAAATGTCTTGCGCTATATCGCTCTCTGAAAGTTTACCTTCAAAAATTTTTTAAAACATAATTTGATCCATTTCATCATAAAAACCAAAAATAACGCAAAAAAAGAAAAATGTTTTTTCAATTTCAAATTTTGGAGAGGGAGCGATATGGCAGCGAGACTTTAACGAGGTCGCAGCGACATGTTGACGAGATCGCAGCAAGAAGCCTTGGCTATATCGCCTGCAGCCCGCTGCGATGTAGGTGTTGGGTGCATGCTATAAAAAAATTTCAAAAATTTGAAAAAAATTATGAGGATGTACGCGCGCGCCATGGTGCTGAACACAACAAACACGGAATCTAACGACATTTGAGGAAAATTGCTACAAAAATAAATTAAAATTATATTGGAAGAACCGAAGTTCGTCTTTTCTTCAAGTTCTCGATGTTTATAAAATATGGAAAATGAAAGCTCTTTTGATGTGAGCATACTATCTCCAATCACACGAGCCGGTGTTATTCTCACGATTGAAAGACTTTCGTGCTACGAAAAGCTCAGCGGTGCGGGATTCAAAGTGTCCACAATTGTGCCAATTCTGCAAAAAGGCCCACAGTAAGTCAATGACAAGATAATTTATGTTTCATACTTGCATTTACGAGAAAAATATATCAATATATAGTCAATTAATCAGTTTTATCTCCACGGCTAATGTTTTTAATGAAAAAAAAGTTTCAGATGTGGGATGGTTGCTTTGAAAATGGCTTTGCATTGTACTGGATGCGCAGTAGACGTTCAGGATATAATCGAAGAAGCGCGTTCGAAGGGCTTCTCTAAACAAGGAGAATTGTATTCTGGTCAGAAAACTTTCAACAAATCTGAAGTCTGAACTGTAGCGCCTAAAAGCGCGCCCGAAAGTTTCTTTGCCGCATGCTGTTTCTTCACTCTCTGACTGCGAGAAAACGACGGAATAGCATGCGGCAGTAAAAAATTCGGTCACGCCTTCAAGCGCTGCAGTTCAGAAGCCTTTCTGAAGCAGAAAACTTTCAGTGAGTCATATGGCGGACTTAGCTAATAAATTTCATCCGGGATGCGCTAAAGTCTCCGACTTTCCAAGCTCCCGAGAATTTTCTGAGAAAATTCTGTCGGGTTCACTAATTTTACTGCCATACGACTGCGACAAAAATTGCAACGCTGTTAATCTCAACGGGCACAAGGCTCATTGGCTTCTTGCGGTGAGCAATACATTCTTTAAATTTCAACCAGCGCCTGTTTCAGAATGGAATCATGCACGTCGACGAGGAGTACACTGGATTCAAAGCTTTGACGAAGACAGCCCAATTTACGGATGAAAACACTTTTGTTTTCGGCTACCAAGGGAAGAGCAAGTGAGAGAAATTTTATACACAAACGAAAGATGTCGAACTCTCTCCGATTGAAAAAATGATAATACTAGAACCGTTCAGTCAATCAAGTGATCTTCCATTATGGAGTCCTATATATTGCTTTTTTTTAAATCCAAAAACGTATCTTACAAGAGGAATTTCGCAGATTCATGGGTTTGTACGACTACAAGAAGCTTTTCGAAAGCAACGCTCAACTTTTTGAGGCAGGACCGCTCCGCTCTGCCGACGAATACGTTATCAATAACGCTTCCGATCTCTCAGATCTACGTTCAAAAGTTGTCATAATATCTTGAGTCTTTTAGTACAAAAAAAAACTACTCAGGCACTGGCGGGGGACGCGCCAAGGTGGGTTGTATACGTTCAAATATCTATAGCATCATTAGAAAAATTTTGAATAGAAGTGAAAAAGCGGGATTTATTAGCTTATATAAACAACAAAAAAATTAGAAGAGAAAACCGGCTCGTCTTCGCTACCAATTCCTGAGTAGGTTTATCTTGATGTTTGCGTGCCTTTGAATATAAAAAGTTAAGAATCTGTTATGACAATCTGGAATGAAAATTAACCACAATTTTTTGCACAAATGTTCAGGTGAAATTTATTTGAGGATTGCTCAAAGGACAGTAAATTAGTAAGGGTACAAAGGTAGAAAAATTAAAACGTAACAGATAGATTTTTTACAATCCTGTCGACCCGAAACCACCATCTCCTCGTTCTGTTTTTTCCAAAGTGCTGACTTCCTCGTAAGTACAGTGAGCAATTTTTTCACAGATTAACTGTGCGATTCGGTCGCCAATTTTCACCTAAAATATAATTAAAAACAGAAATAAGAAAATATGTCGAAGTTCCAGAATGGTTTTAGAACATGAAGAGCGGAAAAAAAAAGTGAAACGCCATAAACCTTGAAATCTTCTTCGCCAAAGTTAAAGAGGAGAACTTTGAGCTCGCCTCGATAGTCACTGTCGATAACTCCGGCTCCGACGTCAATAAAGTTTTTCGCAGCCAAACCAGAACGTGGGGCTACTCTTCCATAGTATCCATAAGGAAGCTCTAGTTGCAAACCAGTAGCCACACAAAGCTTTCCTACAAACTTGAGAATTATACAGAAACGCTCAAGGGATCTATCACCTTTTGCAGGAACTGTGCAATCTTCACAACTGTATAAATCTGCTCCAGCTGCAGAAGCCGAGCCACAAGTTGGCATTGCTGCCTTTTCATTCAACTTGACAAATCGAATCTTGAAACGATCTTCCTAGGAAAAAATACTTTTGGCCATGAAAAAAAAATTAAATAAAAATCGAGCAAGTTTTCTTTTGTCTTTACTGGCATATAACACTTATTAAACAAAATTTATGAAAATACCTGATCACTGAGCTTGACTTTTTTAGCACTGACAACGGAATCTTCGATAATTGCGTTTTCTTTCTCAATCAGAACATCAGTCATGTTGAAACCGCTCTGCAATTTTATTTATTGTTTGAGATTCGCGCTTAAGAAATTTATTGAAATGTTCAAGATAGTAGTGAAATGAAAAAAACGAGAAAAAAAGTACAGGAGGAACCCAAAAAAACTTTTAATATTCAAAAAAATAAAAAAAGAATATGTCGATTTTTAAGTTTATCCGCGAAATTCAAGATAGCCGTCAGAAGGTATAAAAGATCACTAAATTTCGAAGAGTCAGAGATTTTCTCAAGTTTCGCGAAAATACTTTGGATTAGAAAACGACATAACGCCGTGTTTTAGGTGATTTCTGCGAAAAAAAAAATTATCTTCCACTCTTCAAGGTTTGGTTATCTTTTCCGCTCTCTGACGGCTATTTAAAGTTTTGCAAAATCACTCTGAACATGCCATAATAATGAAACCGCGTTTACAATAATTATAAGGCGGCATTCCCGGGGCGATTCGCGCGGAAATGAATTCGAATTGTTTCAGTTTTCGCGCCAAAATAGCACAGAGAAATGTTCACCGTACTGTCTTTTTTTCTCATTGAAGCTAACTTTCTGCAAACGGGTTCGAAATTAATTTTAAAAAAATATATAATTAAAATTTTTTTGCAAATTTTGCATCTATGGGACGCTAAATAATGCGAACGCTTTTTCGTAAGAGCGAAAAGAGATCACCTGACGTCATTAAGCCGCTGACATCTAAAGTCAAAATAATGCGAACGTGTGAATGAAATCCAAATTTTGAAATAAAAACCCAGCATTCAGTTTGTTATAGATTAATTATCTATTGCTTGAAAGTACGTTATAGACGATATATCCACCCAAACATACAGTACTACGCAATAAGATCTAGAATTTCCTTTTTTTTTCTGACAGAACTTTTTTGAAAAATTGACCAATCGTATACAATAAATATTCAGTTTCACAAGTTGTATCTTGGACAATCCTTTTCAGTAATAATGTTTTTCAAAGAGAAAAAAAGTTGACCTGTCAGTTTTTTTTTCGCTTTCACTAACATGGAAGACAGTAATTTTAAGCTACATATATAGGCAAAGTCTGGATGGGTGGAAAAAGGCTCCATAGAAATGTTCCTTTTAGGGTAACGAACGCTCCTCTTTTGCCATTTCATCATTTTTGCGCCATTTTCTCGGCCCTAATGCACCATTTTTGCTGCCTTTCCTTTTTCCACCATTTCTTGAGCCTTTGAAATCCCGCGGTTATTATCTACCATTTCGACTTTGCTCGAGTTATTGAAGTATAGTTTATTGATGTTTAAGTTTTTTTTTCCATGTTGACAACGCAACCTCCGAAATTTATCTCTCGATATTTTTTTATTTTCTGTGAATCATCAAATTTAACAGAATATAGCAACGAAGTGAGCGTCTATGTCGCAAGGTAAACGACCTACTAACACTGCGCACTTCACTCCTGCGGTAAAAAGAAAACGCGAGAGTGATGAGTGGCAGGAAAAATATGTGGTAATAATTTAGCATTTATAATAGTATGATATTTGAATTTCCAGCCACATTTCGAAGAAGAGCTGCCAGCTCAGCCGACAATTGAAAAGACAAGATGGAGGAGACCTTCTCTTGATAAAGAACTGGGAATAACCAAAAATATTGCGTGCCAGGTCGGCGGTCTTCGATGATGAATCCAATTCTTTGTTCAGGTTTTGGATGTGGAGACATTTCATGAACCTGGTTCAGCGAGCTCTGTAGATAGGACAAATGTGAAGCTCTATGGTATCACAAAAGAGGGCAACTCCGTTTGCGTTATCGTCCACAACTATTTTCCTCACTTCTATTTTCAAGTAGGAAAAGTGTCAGTAGATGGATCTTATTCATTTTCTAGGCTCCTCCCGGATTTGCAACTGAGCACATTCAAATTGCGCAAACGGCTCTCTGTAATGCTATCGCTTCATCGATGCGCCGAGGAGGCGGCGGGAATGTACAATTATCTGGAAAAGTCGTCGATAATCTTGTTCACATTGATATCGTTCACGGAGAAAAACATATATTTTTATAGAGGTTCGTTTCAAATTTCTTTCAAGTTATCAATTTATATTTAGGCGAAGAAAAGAAGCATCCATTCTTGATGGTTACCGGCTCTACTAACTCTCTTAACAAAGCACGAGCTGAGCTCAAAAATGGAGTAAATCTTATGGGAGCCGGGCTTGTTAATGTTTATTGGTTCAAATACAAGTTTGCATTTTATCAAACTTCAGGTAGGGAATCTTTTCGAAGCAAATATTGACGCCGAAGTGAAGTTCATGGCCAAAACGGGAGTTGTCGGTTGTGGCTGGATTGAGGTTGTTTTTATGTTCAAAGCCATCATTTTCTTGTTGCAGATTCCAGCTAAAAAGTGTAAAATTGTCCCAGAAAATCTAAAAACTTCAAGGTATGTTTTTGTTTTTGAAGAAGAAGAAATTGCAATGAAAGTTCGCTTGAGATGTCAAATGGAAGTCACGACGTCTGTTCAAGATTTGATAAGCCACGACCCGGAAGGAGAATGGGCGGATATTGCACCGATCAGGTTTTTATAACATTCTTCGTGGAAATTTTTGTCTTTTCATTTAAATTTTGAAAACATAACATTAGTTAAATTCGTCAAAGTGACGTCGTACTCATCGAACGTTGAGTTATTGCTGAAAGTAGTGCCTTAAAAGTCTTGCTGAAGTGTGAGAATAATTATTTTTCATTTGCTGTTCCGATACTAATCAATGATTTTTTTTTTATGGAATCTTCATCATCTTCTCTATTCCATGAGTTTTTCCTCAAGTCTTATTTTCTTAAAAATTGCTTTTACTTTGAGAAGAAAGAAATCAAAGGAATTTCCCTTTTTCTTAATGAATTCGCACAGTTTTTTTTCATAGTTCCGATTGTATTTCGCTATTTTTTTTTTCAATTTTCCTCTCAGAACCTTGTCGCTGGACATTGAGTGCATTGGTCGCCGAGGAGTCTTCCCAGAAGCCCAAGAAGATCCTATCATTCAGATAGCGAACATGGTCAAGGTGTAGTTCTTTCTGTCACGCCAATATTGCGAACTCGTGCCAGGTCGAAGGCGAGGCTGAACCTTTCATCCGCAATTGTTTCGTTCTGGGGACCTGCGCCCCAGTCGTCGGTTCTTCCATCATCGAATGCGTCAATGAGAGTGTCCTTCTTGAAAAGTGAGTTCTTAGCTATTTCGAACCTATTTCAAAATTCGGGAATTTTTAGGTGGGCGGAGTTTATCCGCGAAGTAGATCCCGACATTATCACGGGCTACAACATTCTTAATTTCGATCTTCCGTATATTCTGGACCGAGCTAAGGTGAAAACAATTTTTTGAAGATTTCAGTTTTTTTTCCTCATAACTTTTTCTGGGGCCAGAAATTAATGAATAATAATGATCTCACTTCACAGGTTCTAAAACTGCCCCAAGTGGCCTTCTTGGGACGTCAGAAAGACCGCGGCTCTTCAGTTCGCGATGCCGCGATCTCTTCGAAACAAATGGGCAGCCGCGTCAACAAGAACATTGACGTGCATGGTCGCGTGATTTTCGACGTTCTGCAGGCGCGTTTCTCATATATAATCATTACTATTGCTCTTTTCATCTAGTTTAGAACATGGGTGGCGGTAATGAAAGCCAGACTTGAGCTTTATAGCTCACTGAAAGTGAATTTTCCAAAGTAACTTCCAACAACTCTCTAGTTCTCAGTTACAGGTGGTTCTCAGGGACTACAAACTGAGGAGTTACACGCTCAACAGTGTTTCTTATCATTTTCTGTCCGAGCAGAAAGAGGACGTCGAATACAACATAATACCTGAGCTGCAGAAAAGCAGCGCCCAGACAAGAAGAAGGTAATATAACAAGAATTCAAAGAAAGGAGGGAAAGTTTAAGATTGGCTACGTATTGTATGAAAGACGCGTTCCTCCCTTTGAAGCTTCTTGACAAACTCATGTCCATCATCAACTACATCGAGATGGCGAGGGTCACTGGAGTCCCACTCAACTATCTTCTCACCAGAGGACAACAAATCAAGGTTTTTTTTAGGATTTTTTTCATGGTAGTGTTTCACGAACCCTGTGAAGCGTCTGGAAAGTAGCTCTACTTCTGAAACATCATGATAGATGATGTGCTAACGAAAAGAACCTCGTTTTTGGTTTTCCAACGACTTTTAATTCATACTATGAAAGGTTTCTAGTTGTTTACTCTCCAAAAGCAAGAGTGGAAAGAGGGTAATATAACACTTATTAAACAAAATTATAAAAATACCGGATCACTAAGCTTGACTTTTTTAGCACGGACAACGGAATCTTCGATAATTGCGTTTTCTTTCTCAATCAGAACATCAGTCATATTGAAACCGCTCTGCAAATGAGGTGTTCAAGATAGTATGGAAATGAAAAAAAAAAACGAGAAAAAAGTTCAGAAAGAATCCAAAAAATTTTCCTATTTAAAAAATGAAAGGAATATGTCGATTTTAAAGTAATTCCGTGAAAAACAGCCGTCATAGAATGAAAGAGATAAATAAATTTCGGAGAGTCAAAGATAGTTAGGCATTTCGCGTGAAATCACTTTGAATACAACAGGAGAACGTTTTTGCATAAAAAAGGAAGGATATTGAAGATCCTTTCGATGATGCTCCGGAGGTGCAGAGACAGCAAGTTCTTCCTGCCCGTGATCGAGGTGCAAGGCGGCGACGGAGAGAGGTTCGACTTCCATTGCGGTCATTTCAGTACTTGCAATGATTTTCAGCTACGAGGGAGCCACGGTCATCGAGCCCGTTCGAGGCTTTTACAACGAGCCGATCGCCACTCTCGACTTCGCCTCACTTTACCCCTCGATCATGATTGCGCACAACCTGTGCTACACAACTCTCATGAAGAATCCGATTGGCGTTGAAGGACAGGTGAACTTTCGGGAAGAGTTTTTCAGTTTTTTTTTTTTGGAATGAAGATAAACCCCTTCACTTTTCCATAAATCCGAGAGAAAAATGGAGGGAGGCTGTCGATCAGAACGTTTACAATCGATCTTAAAAATTTTTTCACAAGTGGCCACCAAACAACAGACCTTTACAATATGGTTTCATAAGATCTGAAAAAAAAGTTTTTGGGATTTGATATTTTGAAAGGGTTTAAGGATTACATCAAAACACCATCTGGTCAATACTTTGCAACGAAAGAAAGACGCCCGGGACTTCTTCCTGGAGTCCTCGAAGATCTTCTCGCTGCGAGGTTTATTTTCCTCGTTTTTCTCTCCCGATAGTCGCATTTTTTTCACAGAAAACGTGCCAAAAACGATCTGAAGCATGAAAAAGACGAATTTCGAAAAATGGTCCTGAACGGTCGTCAGCTCGCTTTAAAGGCATTGTTTTTTCTTTTCTCTCCTTTGGCCAACTGGGCTTACAGATCTCTGCAAACTCGGTATACGGTTTCACTGGTGCAACTGTTGGAAAACTGCCATGTTTGGAGATTTCTCAGTCCGTCACGGCCTTTGGTCGTGAAATGATCGAAATGACCAAGACCGAGGTGATCGCTGGCCGGGTTTCCAAGCTACCTGACAGTCTCTAGGTGGAGAAGCTCTACAAAAAGGGAGCGATGGACGGAAAGTGCCCCAACGACGCGAAGGTCATTTACGGCGACACGGACTCTGTGATGGTCAAGTTTGGAGTTGAAACTGTTGCACAGGTTCTTGCTCTTCCATCCATTGAGTGGAAGGAGTTTTTTTCCAGGCCATGGAAATTGGACTGCATGCATCAAAGGAAGTGAGCAAAATCTTCACCCCTCCCATCAAGCTGGAATTCGAGAAAGTGAGCTTTTATAAACAATTTCGGAAAGGGTTTTCATAATTTACTTTTCTGATTTTTACAAAATTGCTTTCAAAAAAATTGGATTCTTTCTCCCAGCTTTTTAGTTCTTTTTTTCGTTCAGTGTGAGAAGATGAAGAGCATGTAAATAGATTTTTTTTTTCATCCTTTGTTTTTTTTTCCAACTTTACTCAGAACAATCTAACTCGTGACAAGTAAAATGTGGGGTTTGAGATAGGAAGAGTTTTTTGTAAAGCTTTTCTTTTGCTTTCCAAAAGGTGTACTTGCAAAACGGAAGTTCTTTCTTTAGAATTATTTCAAAATAAGGGTAACTTTTGAAAGTAAATATTTTATGCGATTTCGATACCCCTTTGAAGCTTCAAGGAAAAGCTTTACAAAGATAACTTCGAAAGCCTCTTTTTTCCTTGTTGTATTTTTTCAAGATGTTAACTTCAAGCGTTGAGCTTTAAGGTCTATTTCCCGTATCTCTTGATCAACAAGAAGCGGTATGCTGGTCTTTACTTCACGAATCCGGATAAACATGACAAGATGGACTGCAAGGTACTTTATTCGTCGTTAAATATTACCGTTGATCTACTTAGGGTCTGGAGACAGTCAGAAGAGATAATTGCCCTTTGGTCGCTAAAGTTCTGAGTATTTGCTTGGAAAAATTGCTGGTATCTATTTCTCGTATGTCCAGAACTCCCTGGTTTCTTCTTAGATTGATCGAGATGAGAACGAAGCTCTCAACTTCGCCAAGAGAATTATCGGAGATCTTTTGTGCAACCGCATAGACATTTCTCTGCTGATTATCAGTAAAGAGTTGACAAAGTCAGGCGATGTCAGTTTTTACCTTTTCGGCTCTCTTTCATGATTCTTTTTCTCTAGAAATACCAAGCCAAGCAAGCTCATGTGGAGCTCGCCGCGAGAATGCGCAAAAGAGATCCGGGAAGTGCGCCAAGGCTCGGCGACCGTGTTCCTTACGTTTTCAGTGAGCTGCTTTTTTGTTCGCTATTCGACAATGGTTTCAGTTGGAAATTTACTGTCTTTTAACCTAGTTTAATGTTTTTCTAGAAATTTATCGTGAAAAAATTGCTTACCACGGTCTTCAAGTCTCCGACGCCAATTTTAAAAATCTTTATTATGTTGAGGAATCGCATATCGTATGAAAATAAGCGGAAAAAGTGAGGTATCGTCATATTGATCGACTCATAATATGCCTATCACTCTTCTACATTCCTGAATAACATTAAAAAATTGATTTCAGTTGCGGCAGCGAAAAACGTCCCGGCTTACGAGAAGGCGGAAGACCCGACCTACGTTTTGCAGAACAACATTCCACTGGACACGAAGCACTATCTGACGAACCAGTTGGCCAAGCCTCTCGCGCGAATTTTCGATCCTATCCTGGGAGACCGTGCGGAGAAGGTTTGGGACGAGGATCTGAATGTTTCTTGACTCGGCGACAGATTCTCACCGAAGGAGAACACACGCGAATGCGGACCGTGGTGCAGAGCAAAGTCGGCGGCTTGGCTGCCTTTACCAAAAAGTCTGCGACCTGTCTGGGGTCCGTTTCTTTCGCTTCTCCTAGGATCATTCGTTTGAATGAGATGTTGATTCTTGTGAGATATGGCACATCAGCCCACGATTTATTGAATTACTACATTTCAATTCGTTATTTAGCGAAAAAGAAAAAATTTTTTAACTTCCTGGAAGCCCATTGTGTATTTTATCAAGGTAAGTACAGAAAATTTTTTCTTTCAAAAAAAGAGCCTTTTTCGTTTTTCTTTGTTAAAAGGGCTACTTTTGGCAAAAAAAAACTTCATAGTTGGATGAATTTTGTTTTTCATAAGAATCATATACGAAAAATTAGAGAAAATCGATTGTCAGCTGAAAATACGTACTAATTAATTAGCTTTTGCCTCGAAAATGAGTGAAAATATCCGATCTATGACCTAAAAATGTCAAAATTGTTCTCATAGTTATTCCATTGATAACTTCAAATAGCTCAGTTCTCTCAAGCCCTTATTTTCAGATGCAAGAGCGTTCTGCCGAAAGACAGCTCTAGCGACGCTGTTTGCAAGCATTGCCTTCCCAAATTACCCGAAATATACTACAGCAGGTATTTTTCAGCTCATCTAATAAAATTGGGAGAAAAGTTTTCAAGTGAGGCTGTCCAAAGGGAAAAAGCTAATCAACTTTTTTTTTTGTAGAGTTCCAGTTTTTTTTTATTCGAGAAAAAAAGGAATTGAAAAAGAAAAAAAAATTTTTGTTCCTTAGCCAAAAAATGCTTTGAAACTTTGAAACTTTATTCAGTCTTCAGAGAAGGTACTCTGCTGAATCATGGAATAATTGAAGAGTTGTTCGTCGGTTTGCGAAACTGTCGTTGATCAAACGTAGACGGCGCGTAGAGCATCTCGTCTTTCTTGTGATAGTAGTAGACGACTTTCGAGCGTTTCCGACGATCACTGCTTCTCCATGTAGGAAAAGTACGGCGCCCAGCTTGTCCAGGGCTGACGAGCGTCGGATTAAATCTCAGACGAGAGCGGAAATGAAGACCGACCACTCGGGTGGTAGAAATGAGATAAAAAATGCTTGGTTGCTGGAAAATATTATTGGAATAGTTTAATTTTCTTCTATAAATGTTTTAACACAAAGCTGTCTGCTGAGAGAGAAAACGAAAAAAAAACGTTTTAGGGATTTTTATAACACTAAAAAGCATAGTTTTTGACGATATTCGGGTAATGGAACAATTTGAGAGTTTCCACGTTGAATGATTTGGAGAATCAATTCGCCCGCATGTGGACCGAGTGTCAGAATTGCGCGAAGACTATGCAGGACTCGGTTCGTTTTTTTCAACTACTCATAGAAGATTTTTTGGGTTTTTTTTTGTTTCCTCAATTCTGGATTCAGATCAACTGCTCTGCCCGTGATTGTCCGATTTACTATATGAGAGACAAGGTTCGGAACGACCTGACTGAGGCTCAAAACGTCATGGAACGGTTCGGCGAGCCGCGATTCGTCTAACTATATTCTCATCTTTTTTTCGGTTTTCCTCACTTTATTGTACCGGGTGACTTTTATTAGATCCTCACATGCCTGAAATCCTGTGTATTTTTTGAAATAAACTTTCTCACTAACATATTTGATGAACCACGTTTCTAACTGTTTTTTTCAGTTTGGATATATAAAAGTTTTTCTGTTAAACTTTCTGACTTTTGTTCATTCAGATTTCAATGCTAAGATGGTTCACTATATTACTCCTGTATTCCATACTTTGTGAAGCTTATCACGAACAGTTTCTGAAACGACAAGGCCTCGGAACATCTAGGAAACGTTACAATGGCTACTTCACGGAATCAGATATGGCGAGGTTCCTTTTGGTCTCAGAGTTGGAGGCTGTAAAAGGGAATTAGGTATCGAGATAAAGTGAAAAACATGTTCTACCATGCCTACAATGGGTATCTGGCGCACGGCTATCCGCTCGATGAACTCAAGCCGATCTCATGCACGGGTTTGTCTCCTACTTGACTCATTTTCTGGATTTTCGGCGTTCAGGACAAGACACTTGGGGATCTTTTTCACTTTCTCTGGTCGACGCTCTGGATACGTTGCTGGTGATGGGGAACACGACGGAATTCATGCGGGCCATAGATTTGGTCCTCAAATCAGTTGGTCGCTCTGGAAAGTGCAATTCCATTCTTCTTTTTTCCAGGTGCGAGACGACGTCAACGTCAATGTTTCTGTCTTCGAAACGAACATTCGTGTCGTGGGTGGCCTAATTTCCGCACATATGTTGGTTGGCAAGGTTCCAGGTAGGAAAAATGGAGACTTTCTCGAAACAAAGCTATTTTTAGGCCTCGAAGAAGAAATGCCCGGCTGGCCTTGTGACGGCCCTTTGCTCAGACTAGCAGTCAAGATGGCCGATCGTCTTCTGCCGGCTTTCAACACAGGTTGAACCTTCTCGTTGAGAATCCGCAATAAGAAAATGTCCAAGTTAAAATCCGATGCAAGCTTTTTTTTTGCTTCTTTCTACCTAATAATGCAAAACTTGCAATAGGAAACATGTCTTTTCTCTCAGGAGAGGTGAGTATTTCAGTTCTCTGGAATCTGACAAAACAGCTTTGAAACTTTGTTGATATCTCATAAAGAGAAGAATGCATAATTATTAGTTTTTTTTTTTTCAAAAAGCGAGAAATAAATATCCACTTTTTTGCATAATAGTGAAATCAAGACATCAGTTTTAAAATCGAAATAGAAAGATTTTTCAATGGGACTTTTAGAACTTTATATCCAAAACATAAAGTAGGACTGACTACGCCGTTCACTCTCAGGCTTTCTGTGTTTTGTAATCAGCCTGTTCAAGACACTGGAATGCCCTACGGCACAGTTAATTTGCGGTACGGTGTCCACAAGGACGAGACTCCAGTGACCTGCACAGCCGGCGTCGGAACCTTCATCGTTGGTCCTTCGATCCTCTCGAAGAAGTTTTGAACAACCATTCGTTCAGAATTCGGCGCTCTTTCACGTCTCACAGGCGACGACAAGTACGAACGCGTGGCTCTCAGAGCCTTGGACGCTCTCTGGTCGGTCAAGTCGCCGATCGGCCTTGTCGGCAACCATATCAACGTTATAAACAGTGTGCAACGGTGCTTCCAATCCCAATGTTCCCCGTTTTGAGGCCAGTGGACCGCGACGGACTCGGGAATCGGAGCCGGCGTCGACAGCTACTTCGAGTACCTGGTCAAAGGAGCTCTCCTCTTCCACCGGCCGTCTCTCATGAAACAGTTCGACGGTTTCTAGTCGTAGAAAACTCTTCCAAATGCGCGCTGTTTTAAGACTTTCTCTTGTCAATCAACAAGCATGTTCGTAAAGGCAACTGGTTCATGTGGGTGTCGATGACCAAGGGAACTGTCTCCATGCCTATTTTCCAATCCCTCGAGGCTTTCTGGCCAGGACTTCTGGTGAACCTTGTGATGATTCTTCCGAAACCCCTTTTTCCAGACCCTAGCGGGTCAAGTTGAAGATGCGCAGCGAATAATGCTTCAGTACGCTAAAGTGATCCGACAGTACGGATTCCCTCCTGAGTTCTATCATATTCACAACGCTGAACCCGTGAGTTTTGCGAGGATAGTTATCTGGAAGTTATCTGATACTTGAGGTCGAGAAAAGGGAAGCCTATCCATTGCGTCCGGAGATGGCCGAGTCGCTCATGTACTTGTACAGGACAACCGGCGACTCCAAATGGCTGGAACTCGGCGCCGAAATGATCGACGTGAGAGATTCTTTCCTCAGTTGAAGAAAAAAATAGTAAGATCTAAGAAAAAGATTTATATTTTTTTGCTAATTTTTATAACAAAACGAATTGAAAAGAAGAATCCAAAATGAAACCGTACACTGCGTTCAATAAGGATAGGACCCCCCTCGATTTCGGACCTTCTGGCAAAATACGGAAAGATATCAAAAATCTGTAAATGCCATTCGATTCAGAGTACAAAACAACCCCCAGAGCCAAACTTTCATTATCCTAGCACTTTTCCTACGAAAATGCCATCGAAAAAACGGTTTTTCGACCGTTCAATAAGGATAGGACCACCTGGAAATTTTGACTTCCATTGGTGGTTTTTGGTCAATTTCTTTTTTCGATGAGTGGTTTTTTTGTCCTCATATTATTTGTTTTCAATTTTTCTACGGTTTTGTTTTCATATCTTCCAGGTTTTAAAACATATTTTTATATCGAAAAATAGGGAAAAAAATGACGTTTTTTTTAGGTTGCATCATAATATTCGAGCGAATGAATTTTTTTCAGTACTTTGAATGAACTTATCTTATCAAAAGAGACATTTTAACATTTGGAAAAAAACAAAAAGAAGTTCGAAAAAAACATTTTTTTAAAAAGTTAGAAAACCAGTTACAAGATGGTGTATCGTAACCAAATTTCAGGCTGTCGTCGTTTTCGACCGTTTCTCTTTCTGTATGTAGTCGGAATGGCGATGTACTTTTTTTAAAGGATTTGTGAAGGTACTATCAACATATTTCATCAACAAGATAATCTAAAAAAATTATATTTACCACGTACAATGCCGAGAAAATGTGGAGAGAAATTGGTACCCGCGCTTATCGAAGGTATTGTTTCAAATAGAGCGTTTGGCGGGTTTTTTTAGTTTTGTCAACAAAATAAAAGCATTACTGAAAAACGTGCAATAAAAACAATTTTGATTAGAAATAAAAACTTTTTTTATATGATTTATTTATACAGTACCGCAAAAAGTTCGAGTAGCAGTCGGAAGGGTGTTTATTCTTTTGATTTCCGAGGATCGCCAATTTTTATCCAATCCAACTAAGTGTCTTTTTGTGATGGGAGCACCTTCACAAATCCTTTAAAAAAAGTACATCGCTATTCCGACTACATACGGAAAGATAAACGGTCGAAAACGAAGACAGTCTGAAATTCGGTCACGATACACCATCTTGTAACTGGTTTTCTAAGTTTTAAAAGAATGTTTTTTTCGAAACTTCTTTTTGTCTTTTTCAAATGTTAAAATGTCTCTTTTGATAAGGTAAGTTCATTCAAAGTACTGGAAAAAAATTCATTCGCTCGATTATTATGATGCAACCTAAAAAAACGTCATTTTTCCCTATTTTCGATATAAAATATGTTTTAAACCTGGAAGATATGAAAACAAAACCGTAGAAAAATTGAAAACAAATAATATGAGAACAAAAAAACCACTCATCGAAAAAAGAAATTGACCAAAAACCACCAATGGAAGTCAAAATTTCCAGGTGGTCCTATCCTTATTGAACGGTCGAAAAACCGTTTTTTCGATGGCATTTTCGTAGGAAAAGTGCTAGGATAATGAAAGTTTGGCTCTGGGGGTTGTTTTGTACTCTGAATCGAATGGCACTTACAGATTTTCGATATCTTTACCGTATTTTGCCAGAAGGTCCGAAATCGAGGGGGGTCCTATCCTTATTGAACGCAGTGTATAACAAAAGAGAAAAAAGTTGATGAATGGTGCTACGAAGGTTTATTTTTTTGAATTTTTTTAGAAGCTTTTTCAAATATTTTTTTAAAAAAATATTGTTTAAGTTGGTCAAGTAATAAAAATTTTTCATCGCTTTGAAAGTTTTTTTAAAAAAATCATTTCCCGCATAAACCTATTTGAACTCTAGGGGAATTTCTTTTTCAATTTTTTTCCATGAAAAACTAAAAAAATCGAAAAATTTTTCCTCCAATTATTAGAATATTCCGAACAGAACTTTTTGCATTTCTCGGATTTCAGGCCATCGAAACGTCGGCAAAGACCAAGTGCGGCTATGCGACCATCAACAATGTGAAGGACCATTCCATAGAGGACAGGTGGGTTTTTCTGTTAATAAAGAATGTTTCATCCGATTAAAACAAACTCTTAGTTCTTTTTTAATCTGAGAAAAAAACGTTTTCTAAACCATTTTTGTCCGCAGTTTAGAAGGAATAGAATAAAAATGTCAGTCGTTTCAAATTCTTGAAATGGGAAAAGAAACTGGGCACATGATTGCAGGATGGAGTCATTCTTCCTGGCCGAAACGACGAAATATCTCTACCTGCTTTTCGACCCAGACAATTTCATCCACAGCGACGGAAAAAATGCCAGAGTTCTCACCACCAAAGACAACATAACATGTTCCATTTATTGTGAGCTTTCTAATTTTTTTTTTTCTTTCTTCGCGAATTGCGTCGTTAGAGGCGACTGCTGGGATTCAGTTTTTGATATTTGATATGACGGGGCCGCAACGCGCCCTGGGGTGCCCCGACCCGCGAAACGGCCACATTGCCAGAAGAACCATTTTATCTTTTCATCCACTTTCTACATGTTGAGTCATTCTCAACTTTGCGCTTTGAGTCGACCCGGGGCACCCTGTCGGCAGCCTTGCTGTGATAAAATGGGAAATTATCTGACCTTTTCCAGCCGGTGGCTACATTTTCAACACAGAAGCGCATCCGATCGACCCCGGAATGCTGCGATGTTGTTCCTCGACGTCGAAGAAGCAAAGAAAAACGGTCAGGTGAGAAATTCGACTGAAGTCTTGCATCAATCGTTTTTTCTTTTCCTTCAGAAATTGGGAAGACGGCGTCGATTTTCTCAATATAATCAGGAACCAGAAAATGGGTACTGGTCATGTTATAAAGAAGGTTTTTTCGAGTCAAGTAAATAGGGAGAAATCAAAAAAAGCATCTAGGAAGACGTAGAGGAAGATTTGAGAAACGAGAAGAATCGGCCTGGAAAAGGAGGAGAAGAGTATTTCACGAAACAATATGGCCATTCAGGATTGGAATTTGAGATAGATGAATCTCTCAAAAAAGGTTTTTCTTGTCATTTTCATGCATGTTACTCCAGTTCTCAGAGTCTAAAACTTCAAAAATGAAGAACGAAACTAGGGAACAGGAAATCAGTTTGGAGATGGTAGGTCCTCAACGCGTTGTTTTCGTTTTAGGAAGGATGGTTTTCAGATCCGCGAACTTTTGATCAGGGCGCGAGTGAAAGACGAGGAGAAGCGGGAACGCGGAGCCAAGGCTGAAGGAACTCAAAAGCTCCTCACTCAACTCAAGAGCATGCACAAGGAACTGACGGTAGTTGGACAAAATTCACAATGATGATTTTCCCGATTTATCTCTCAGGAAGTAGTTCTTCGAGCGGACTACGAGGCCGAGCAGTTCATCGCAAAAGAAAAGCGATTTTTGGAACTCAGCACTTTGGTGGCCGCGATTCCGGCTCCGGAAGCAGTCTGCTCCGTATCTTTTTTTCATTCAATTCTTCCAAAAAATAAGAATAAAACCACAAGAGAAGCCATTTTATTCTAAATTTCGAAACTTTTCTCCTAACTTTTGTTACCCCCAGATGAAAATTTTCAAGTTTTTAATTATTGGCTTGTTCTAGAAAAATTTCAATGTCGAGTTCGTTCAGGTCAAATTTTTTTGAGCTCAATAATAATATATTTATCAACGGGAGTTTCTTCATTTTTTTTAATCTTTCCATTCAATTTTACTAAGTTTTTTTTACCAGTTTTTATACTCACTAGGGAACGTTTTTACCCTAACTCGGAAACCAGAAATTTTTTCTTGTTTTGCAATCAGGAGGTCCTAGAGTACACCTCAGCGAAGTTTCATCAAAAGTTCAACTGGAGTGTAAAAAACATTCTTTAGTCAATATTTTACAATTTTATTTTGTTATAACTAATACAGTAGAAACGCTTGCGAGTCAATTCGTTCACAAATCAGCTTCCAGAGCTGCTCTTTCCCGATGAACGAGAAGGTGGACGATGTCTGTCTTCGACTCTTTTTGGGGGCCATTCACGAGTTTCACCTTTATCCACAAGCAAATGTACCTATTATCGACTTTGGAATCCCCGAAAAAAAAACTCGGATTCAGATTAAATTTGTGAAGGGTCCGGTGTGTTGGAAGGAAGAAGAACCTCGCATCGAAGACAATTACAAAAATGAGCCGCCAGGTAAATCTTCGCCTTTGAAAAAAAAAACTTAGAGATACGCGGTATCGGAAATATTTGGTTTTTAAGTGGGAAACATAATCTTGATTTTGATTGATAACCTATTAACTTCGACGCACGATGCATATATGAAGAAGCTAAAAATGGAAAAGCTATCTACTTTCCATGATATTAATATGTTCAAAACAATAATTTATTTTGTTTTTTTTAGTCGTAGATGTGATTTACTAGGCGGCGAGTAAGAACTTTTTGAGCCATATCGAACAGCCGTCTTTGGCGAAGTTCAAAACAAAATTTGAAAAGCAGAAAAAAATATATATGATCGAGTATATTTTGAATGGCGCAGAGCTGGACAAGCGCGATTTGGAGGAAGACTTGGATTTTTTGTCCTTCGATCCTGTCGACATCAAACATCTGGGTTATGCTCGTCTTCGCGCTCCCGGCCGAGGGAGGTTCTATTCGCAGTTTACGGGTGGTGGACAGGTACCTCTTTATCGGGATATGTAGGTTTCTCGTTCAATCTTCACTTTCAAGTATCTTTTTTGAGTCTTTCTTCTTTTCGCAGCTGGTTGTTGTTTATGTGTGTCTTCTGGTTTTGTTCTTTTCCCTGGTTGATTGAATTATCCAACTCTTGCCTTTAAATTTATTTTTTCCTGTGATAGTATATTTTTTTTTTGTTGCTTTCTTGTTTAATATGTCTGTTGTTACCTATATTGTTGATAAAGACGCTAATAACTTTAAAATATGAGCGTTCGATTTCTTCGAATTTGTTTTTCGATTGATAATGCCTGAAGAAGAAGGTCTCTAAAAACCAAATCTGAGACTTTTCGGATATGCTGAGAAGGGGCGTGGCTTGGTCGCTCCATCGCTTCATTTCTTCGGTCAACCTCTACACCTCCAGATCTCACAACTGTGGCGAGTTGACCCTTGAGAACATCGGTATTCGACGTCTCCTGCCATCGACGAAGTTTCTTTTCAGGACAAGCCGTTACTGTGACAGGATGGCTTGCTTTCAAACGTATGGACAAGTTTTTAGTTCTCCGAGACGCTTATGGTAGTGTTCAGGTGAGAAGCATTTTAGAACCCAAAGTCAAGTTCCGAAACATAAGCGGTTTCAACAACGATTTCAACGGATTTGATGTTCAGGCAACCTTGCCGAAGACCCTACAAACTGAACTCAAAGATATCCCATACGAGTCGGTGATCCGTGTCAATGGAGTCGTGGCTGACCGCGGCAAAGACCGAAACAACAAAACTGCGACAGGAATGATTGAGGTTGAACCGAAGCTGGTTGTCGCGTCTCCATTCGGAGCCTCAGATAGTCGTCGAGAAGCTGACGGTTCTGAACCGCGCTGCTGTAGAAATGCCCATGCTCCCCGAAGCTAGGACCACGGAAAGAACGAAGATGAAGTACCGTTATATCGACTTGCGAAGCTCTCGAATGCAAAGGTCTTTCTTCTTGGCCATTTTCAATCTCATTTATGGCATCATTGAATATTTCTCAAAAAAATGTTTCGCAATTTCAAAAAAAAATTTGGAAAATAAAGTGATTTTGAAAAAAAAAAAATTTATGCTTCGGTAAGTGTCTTTCAATGAGTGATTCCAATCTTTTCAACCAGAACTCCTTAAACCTAACCATTTCTGAAATAGGGCGTTGCGATTACGCTCACAACTCGTTCACGACGTCCGACGTTTTTTCGTTGAAGAACGGCAGTTTGTTGATGTTACACTTTTAATATTATCCATACTGAAGTCCGATCTCAGGTTGAGACCCCGACTTTGTTCCGAAGAACACCTGGCGGAGCCGCTGAGTTCATCGTTCCAGCTTCTCAGCCCAATCTCGGATCCGTCTACTCGTTGCCTCAAAGCCCACAACAGTTCAAGCAACTGCTGATGGTGGGAGCCATCGATCGCTACTTTCAGGTTGACATCCACTTTTTCTGTGGGCATTTAGATTCAGATTGCGAGATGCTACCGCGACGAAGGATCCAAAGGGGATAGACAGCCGGAGTTCACGCAGGTGTCCTCTTCATCCACGCAAATTTCAACTTTCTTCTCAGATCGACGTCGAGATGTCGTTCACTTCTCAGGAAGGAGTCATGAGTCTGATAGAAGACATGGTTGTCAGTTCCTGGCCAAAGTCCTTGGTAAGATTTCGCGAAGGCCCAGAGCAAAGCATATTGAGTTCGCTGATGTTGGCCTTGAAGTTGCAGTAAAAAAGGAATTCAAGGCAAAAATTCCATCTTGTGGAACTTTTCCTTGCGATTTTAACGTCCCATTCCAAATCGCACAAAAGTTAGTTGTGTTCAAGGTCAGTGACCGCAGGGTCACAGCAGCCATTTCTCAACACTTTGAAAACCCTAGATTTCTAAGGTTTTTGAAGAAAAGGAGAATGAGGGAGTCCGAAAAAATGAGTGCTGTTTGAAGCTCCACGCACACTCTTATCTCGAGCTCTATCTAATACTTTTTAGGAGAATTTGAAGCCCACAGGCCCTTTTCCAAGGCTTCGTTATGAGGATGCCATGCGATGGTACGGCACTGATAAGCCGGACATGCGCATTCCGTGGAGAATCCAAGAAGCTCATCCAATTCTGAGTACGGTAGTCTACTCAATGTCGCATTCTGAATGACATTCAGACAACCTTGCCTCCGATAAAATCGTTGACTCGAAGTGGGTAGTAAGGCTTTTCAAGTGCGAAGGCTTGGGAAATCTGTCTGTGCCTGGAAGTCTGCGCAAGGAGTGGAAACGGCTGCTTTCTCTGAACTCCCGAGAAACAGTCAGTCTTGCTTTTCTCAAACACCCTCAATTTATCTCAGAACTTTGCCGTCTGCTCACCACAGAAGAAACATTGGTTCAACTTCGTCACAAATCGAGAGGTTTCTCGCGCACACGACGCCACGGATGAAGACTTGCTTGTGGTGGCTTGGGGAAGTTGCAAGAGCGTTCAATGGACCTTGGGGCAGCTGCGGAACTTCCTTGCCGAGGCCGCCAACCTGAGATCTAGGAAAGAGGTGGCGGCTGGTCTGGAGCACATTCTCAAGAATCCCTAGATCGTGGCTCATTGGGTGATCGACTTTCCCTTGTTCACCGTCGAGGACAACGAACTCACTTCTACACACCATCCTTTCACCGCACCAGTAGAAAAAGACGAAGTTGATCTCAAGTCAACGCGAAAATTGCCGGAAATCATAGGTGATAATCTCTCTTGAACTTGGGAAAGCGTCTGTTCAGGACAACACTATGACCTGGTGATGAACGGCGTCGAAATGGGCGGAGGTTCGATTCGAATCCACGACGCCGATCTGCAGGCTCACGTCCTCGAGATCCTCAAAGAGCCCACTGCTGAAATGGTTTCAAAACATTGAAAATACAAAATTAATTACAACAAGGATTGGTGAATACGAAGAAATGCTGCCGTTTTTCCTGCAAGTCGAAGGGGTTCAATAGTTCTAAGTTTACTAGGTTGGCAATAAAGGTTCATATCACTTTTTCCTCCCATATAAATCTCGCCTTCAAAATGAGCCTTCTTAAATTTTTTTTAAAGCAACAAAGTCTCCGAAACATTCTTTTCGATATCTAATCAAACGTTCTGATATATGTGTTAGATAACGGTGATTGAAAAAAATATAGATCAGAGGAAGTCCCAAATGAACGGCGCAAAGACTGACTTTTGGAATTAGTTTGAAATCACCCGAAAGGCTATGAGATTGGATGATTACGAGCCTTAGAAACGAATAAAATTGTTTTCAACGAAAAATGTGGAAATACAGCATCATGTGGTGATTTTGAGACGCATCTGCTGAACGCGTTGTCCCACGGAGCGCCGCCACACGGAGGCTTCGCCATGGGTCTCGATCGCTACGTGTCTCTGCTCTGCGCTGAGGGAGATCCTTCTCTTCCTGTCCGAGAGGTTTTTGACAACGCCTTTCCTTTTCCCATTCGATATTAGGTCATCGCTTTTCCAAAAACCAAAGATGGAAAAGATCTGATGAGCGACGCTCCCACGATACCCAATGATGAGCAACTGGAACGGTTTCGCTTTTTCTTTTTTCAGTTCTTGGTCAATTTTATATCCGTTTTCAGATTTGGAGTATTGATAGAAGCGCCTTCGGCTAAGTTATGTGCATCGTAAACCAATAGAACACGTTTATTCATTTAATTCTAGTTTTAAATAAACTTTATTTTATTTCTCGAAGTTCATTTCTAGTGTGATGTGGCTTTTGTTGGTTGCTTTCTCGCCGAGCTTTTCCACAGGTAAAAGTCTTCATCATCAACAATTTGCTGCAAGTTATTTTACAGGGTACGAATTCAAGAAAGTTGTTTGCAAGTCAGCGCAAGTTTTTTCGGGCCCCAACACGTGTTCATTCATCGACGGCGACTTGATCATCGGCGAAAATGTCAAAGAAGAGGATCTACGTGTTGAATTCCTATACAATATTCTGAATTTTTGATTTCTGCAGTGGCTGATGGATCTTCGCGTCCTCACCGGCGCGCTCATCATAAAAAACACTCAGCTCAAGTTTTTTGCTCTTCCCCGTCTTAACACTATTTATATGAACCAGTTGAAAGGTGAAGGTTGTAGTAACTATTCATGAAATTTGAAATCATGGTGCGAAATATGGCGAGAAATAGGACAGAAACTTTCGTTCAAACACTCCGGATAATATTGATCCGGTCGAGTGTTTCTCCACAGGCAAAGCTCAAATCGAACAAATTTTGGATCTTTATTTTCAGCGGCGGTCAGTGTTTCGAACGCACCGAATCTTGTCTCTTTTTACATCGGAAAGCTACGGAAACTCCAGTACGATGTGTCGCAAGATAAATTTCCAAAGGTTCTATTCGCTTTTTTTACGTTTTAAAATCGTCTCGATGACAGGATTTCGCCAAAATCGAAGTGAATAAATGCCCAAAATTGATAATCGGCACGACGGCTCTGCGGCGTTTCATCGACGTCGCCGGCGCCTCTCACGTATTCCTTGACGGCACGAGAGTTCACGTCGATCCCTATGAAAAGGAGGGAGGTAAGCCTGCTGCGAAATCTTGCTAATAATATTTTACATCGAAGTTCAAGAGAATAAAATCTCGGGTATATGACAAAAAGCTGCAAAAAACAAGCGCGATAAAACATCGACGCGAAAAGAGACTGTGCCAGCAGGGGCGGAGTTAGCTGCTTGACATTTAAAATCTGAACAGACTGTACAACTTAATCTTCGCTCGTATATATAGCAAAAAAATATTTCGATTTCGCCGAATTTTAATTTTTCGGAATTTTTCGTTTTCTTTTTTTCAGAATAAAAAAATTTTAATTTCGATAGTTGTCTCATTGAGAGTCGCAACGTCAAAAAAATTTTTTTGATGGAGAAAAACGTTCAGATCACTGATTATTTATTTATTTAATTCGCTTCTTTTCACGGGATCATTTTTCGCAGCTTCTCCTTCATATGCTCAAATCGACAAAACCTTTTCTAAACTAATCAGATTATTTGATGTCTAGAAAACCAACTTTTCGCCGGCTTGGCCTTCGACCTCGAAAACGACCTATTACCGGCTGCCTTCGCCACAGTTTTCCTCATCATTGTCTTCTTCGTTTATTTCGTTTCTCATCACATCGAGCAGAACTCAATTCAGGTCATAAATTCCCGGGCAAAAAACTTGAGCTATAGATAGTTGTTTGTTTACAGAAAAGCGAAAATGAAGCAATCAACGTTTATTTTGGTATGCGCGACTCCATAATTGCAGCCGAATTAAAGTTTGATCTGTTCCTTTTTCTAAACTTATATAAAATCTTATTCCAGCCTTTCATCGGGATCGCCTATGACAAAGGTGAGAAATATTCTGACTCTCGCGATTTATAGGGCCCTAGAAGATTTAAAAAAGGACATATTTCTCACTTCATCCAAGAATTATGAAGATTTTACGCTTGTAGCTGGCACCCAAAGCACGAACAAAGAACTCTACAAACCAAAAGACGCGATCAAAAAAGTCGAATAACCCGACGAATCCTGAAACGAGGCCATTGGTACAAGCCAACTAGCCGAAAAAGTTCTCTTTCCATGAGTAAAGCTTTTTTGTTTTCTTTACACTATAAGTACATTTTATCCACAAAGGAACAAAGTTTTGGTTATTTCGCCATATGGAACAAGAACTGTCACTCAAGCTCGACGAAATCTGAATTTTGGGACTTTTCAAAAAAGGAGTTGAACCAAACATACCACAATAACTAAAATCAAAGATTATTAATCCACGCTAAACTGTACATATGGAGAAAGTAACAACAGAAAAGAAAAATCACATTCGCGTATATTTTCTAAATCAACAATCAAAATAATGACCTTTTTAACGATAAGAATAATTACATCAGAGAAAAAAAACTAATTTCCAAGAGAAAAAGATACCTGTAAGAAGCATCACAATTGCGTCGGCTGTTCACTTCTGACAACAATCTTGTTTTCTGAGAAAAAAAAAAACGAAACCATCAAAAAGGTGACATAGCCTTTTCGCCGACGTCGATATTATTGAACAAAGAAAAAAGGTAGTGGTCGCGAAAATGCGACCGAATCAAAGTGAGAAATCATAATAAATTAATTTCACGGAATCTAGAAGGCAAGGACCAAGGGAAATATTGTGCTAGGGCAAGTGACTCGTCATGGTCGGCTGGCGACAAAGGCAGTAGGGCTCAGATGCGGAAGCCGTACGCTTCGATGAACTGGATGACAAAATCTTCGCTGTCGCCGGACAGAGGTTCGTTGTCGAATGTGTCGCAGCGCTGGGATCTGCCGTGGTTCAGGTCGGCTGAAAGAATAAAATTCTTTTCCCCATCTTTATATAATTCTTCAAGTCGTTTTTAAAGAAAGAGTTCCGAAAATTGAGCCGAGGAAAAATGAGTCAAAGCAAGATAAGTGGCGGCAAAACTTTCGGCCGGATGTAAACGACTAATGTCGTTAGATAGCCGCTTTCCGACGTTATTAAAAGTGAGATTCACAGTGTTCCAAAAGAGACGGCGGCAAGCGAAAAAAAAAGGTCGTCGCAATGGGGCGAAAACGCGAGTTTTTTCTAACGCAACGCGGTGCGGCGCGTGTCACCCCCACAAAATTTCATTCACTTTTAATACGGTTTTTTATCTTTTTATTGCGTATTTTACCATTCTTTCGTATTTTTTCACATTGTATGTGTTCTTAAAACGTGTTTATCGCGTTTCCAAAGATTTGAAGTGATTTTCAATTTTTTCTTCACAGAAATTCGCATTAAAATGACATTTTTGATGACAACTTTTTTCGCATAAGATATTTCGTTTGTTTTTTTGTTCTAGAATTTTCAAATGAACTTTCTTAAGAGAAACGCTTTGAGATTTCTCTCAAAATTTTTTTTTCGAGGCAGTATTCGACGAATTTATTCTTGAAAATGTCATTTTGGGTGACAACTTTATTCGCACAAGCTATTATGTATCTGTTTTTGTTTTAAAACGTTCCAATGGTATTTCTTAAGAGAAGTGCTCTGAGCTTTTTCTCAATTTTCCCTTTGTAAGTTCGATTTGACGAGTTTTCCTAAAAAACGACATTTTGGGAGATATATTGTTTTGCAAAAACTTTTTCGTCTCTTTTTTCATTTAAGTTTGTTCGTTATAATTTAAAACACATTAAAAATCTTTGAAAACTTGCGAGAACCTAGGAAAAACATCATTTAATGGTCTTTTTCCAACCACTAAATCCACAAAACTGGACTCTCATCCCCGCGCCCCTATTGCAATAAACCGTGCCGCTGTTGCAGTCAGCCACGCCTACTGACCACAGCTGCCGTCCGTTTGGGAACACTGTGAGATTGAATAAAGAAAATACCGTCTAGCCAAAGGCCGTTGTGACCGCCACCTGCGCCGACGGAAAGAGAGTCGCGAGAAGAGTTTACGAAGAACTGATTGTCGCCCGTCCACTTGTAATGGCGCAGCTCCCTCAAAATGCATCTTTAGTACTGAGAAAAATTGAAGTCTTCGAAAGTTCAGAATATTCAAAAAAAAATTAAAAGTCCTCTATAGACAAAAGATAAACCATAAAGCTTGAAATATTATAAAATTTTCTCATAGCTGTTAACTGCGAAAACTTTTTTTGAGGTATAGAAACACTAATAACTCGCCGAGCCTACAAAGGGTCACGGAATCATAAAAACTGCCGAGCCCTATGCTCAAAAGCAGTCAGAATACGGGATTTTAGGTCAAAGCGGTATCTTGTAGAGCCTTTCATTGCAAATAAAATGGCCCACTCAAAAAAACCGCAACTCCTTCAAAAGCCTATTTTCGCGCCGTTATCTCCGTTGCTTATTTTTTAAACACATTCTCCTAAATTTTTTCAAAAATCGTGAATAAAAAAGAACAATTGGAAGATTCGAAGTACCTGGTGTGCGGCGCTTCTCCAGTGAACCTCCAGAGGAGACAGCTATCACCGGTGCCGGTGAAATGATCGCTGGGCCTGATGGCAGACGAGACGACGGCGCCGAAAACGTGCTCCTTAGTGTCGCGGATGATCAACAGCACTGGCGACAGATCTTCGTCGAACTCCGCCATCTTTCTGTACATTGTCGTCAGCGAGAATCCGTGTTTCTCCGAGTTGTAGATGTTAACCCAGGGGTATCCTTCCGCTCGAGGAGGCAATATGTCCATGATCTGAAAAGGGAGAGAGTGAAAAAAGCAGATAGAAATGAATCTCTCGAATTCGGATGAAAGGCTGACCTGACGGATCATGAGTTCATCAAGGATTTGCGACGTAGCGGCGCCGTCGGGGATCGGCATCTCGATCTCCTGGTCGAGGGAGAGTCGACGGCACATTTCCGAAACTGTCACCAGTTCCCATTCTCGGTTCAGGAGAGATGATCCGAAGAGCGGCGCCTGCTTGTCTCCTGAAATCTTGCTTTCAAATACATCGGTTTCCTTTCTTTTCAGCACAGATTTAGGGTATATTCTTTACTCGTGTACAACTTTTCAACGTTTTTCCTCTTCATACAGCTGCAGCCACATAATGTGCGTTTTTCAAAAATTTAAAAATATAAGGGACTTCAGAGGTTCTTGCCTCAACTTTCTAACAATGGCTGAGACTTTTGGACAGTGTTTACTGATATTCAGGTGACTCACTATAAAGTTCAAGAAGTAATACAAATTTCCAGACTATTTTTCCTGGCCTTGAAAAAAAAAATCAACTAAAAAATGTATTCAAAAAAATTCAGAAATTCATGTTATCCCACTGATTTCCTATGATTCAGGTTCGACACAAACTCTATGTTGAAGATGTAGAACTTTACGTGTAATTCACGAATGATTTCTATTCATACCAACAGACTATCACCATATGAAAAACTTCGAAGAAAATTACGAGTCTACGAGTGCCGAAAAATCAATTAGAAGACGGATTCGACAATCGCTGAAACGGTCGTCCAGCCGGTTTTGAACAGACCTGACGTGAGCAACTCCTTATCGATGGCTTCACCGATAACCGAAACCATGTGAGAAAAGCGCCGCTGGCTGGACTGGCGGGCCTTTCCGAGAGGAACTGACAGACGACGGACGCTGCTTTCCAGGTGCTTCAAACACGGCGAGATGTCTTCTGAAGAGGCCTGTGACACGGTCGACGCGATCGAATTCGTCGACGTCTGCACCTTGTCCACCAGCGACGCCAACATTTTTTTGTAGGACACTGGCGAAGACGGAAAATCCTCTATAGTTTTGGCAGGGAGCATTTCGACACACAAAAGGCCGTGAGAAAAATTAATCCACAAGATGAGAGAAATCGAAGGAAAAAGAAGCTTCCGAAAAACGACGACCAATTAGCGGACGTTGAGGCCTCTATATGCTTTCTCTCGGAAAATAAAAAAGATTGACAAACTGAATATACGGAAACAACCGTATTGATTCAATTAGGACTGAGGAAAGTTTTCTGAGAAAAAGCGAGAAAATAACATGATTGAGAGGATTCAAAGATTTGAGATAGAAAAAAGGCATTTCAGCCTTTTTCTTGGATGAAAAATTTCGTCTCAGAAATTGAGAAGAGCTTCCATCTTTTCAATATATTTACATTTTGAGAAAAGTGAGAGAAGGCTGTGCGAAGAAATAAAAAAGAGAGGATCGGAAGCGGTCCGCCCCTCCCTTCCCTTCGCCGAGAAAGCAGCCAACGGCGCCCCAGGCGGTCGTGAGAAGGACAAAAGGACCACAGAGCCAGCAGAAATAGCCTTGGCGATAAACACCTCCACGGAAAAAACAACTCGAGAACTCCACTGTGAAGAACTTTTGATAGACTTTCTATCTCGTGCTCGCTCCAAGATGCGGATCAATAAAGACATTTTTCTATTTCGTCCAAAACTTTTTTAGAAGTCCTCTATTAAATCGCGGTATTCTCTTTCTTGAATAGACCTTTAAAAAATATTTGAAGATTAACTCGTTTTTTTTCTCATTTCATCGTAACTCCAACAGTCGTCCGATTCCTGAAGTCTCAAAAATCTTATGATCCATAGCTCGTTCAGAAAAAAACTATCGAAACGTTGTCAAACTTAAATTTAGTGTGCGCGTTTGCTGAATCTACCTGACCGGGCAAGAGATTTCAAACTTTTTTAGATATTTTTCAACATTTTAATTTTTAATTCCTCGATTTACCTTCAATACTAAAATAGAAAAGTTTTCCGAAGCTCGGCGGTTGTAGACTTAGCGACTGCTAGTAATTTTGTCTAGGCTTTGTTTAGATCTGATATGATCGACTTGTTTATCACAAGGAATGAAATTGTTTCGTAGCCTCAGAGTAGCATAATCCTTTCAAATTACACCCGTGACACTAGGGGTCAACAACCAAAAAACGCAGCACAAGTGCTGAAAGGAAACTAATCTCGCTGAAGATACGAACACGGAGGAAACGAATTTGAAAGATAATTAAATTCACGCAAACCATAGCCTTTTAAGAAGAAGTCTAGCTTAGAGGGAAAGCTTATTCAAGCGTGTTAAAAGGGAGTCTTCCTGATCAAATAGTCTCCGGCCTGCGCAAACTTGGAGAAAAAAGAAGTAGTAACTAAGAGAGCTTTTGAAGACGAAACATACCTGGAATGAAGGATGGTCGCATTACAGCACCGAGTGACTTGGATCGACGGCGCGACTCTTCGGAGATTGAAGAAGTACGACGCTTGAAGACTCGCTTGGCGAAGATCTTCTTGAACTTGGTAGGATTCTTTTTCTTGACTTCGACTTCGAAAGCAGAGACCGACTGTGGAATTACAATAGGCGTTGGCAAGTCCGAAACGATTGGCGTCTCCGCATTCTCATCTTCTTCGAATGAAGAAGATCGAGGTGGAATGTACGGTGGCAAAGACTCAAGACCACCGTAAAGCGAACTAGGCGGTGAGTGGCCTCTAGAAGAAACGCCGGAATCGTTGCTCCCGTTGGACTTGGTGGAGCTGAGACTGCGATGGTGGTAGACGTTATCGTTCTCGTTGGCCACGCTGAACTTCTGGCGCATCGTCTCAATCATTTCGTGCTCCTCGCTGTCGCCAGTCGAGCTGGCGAGAGTGTTGCTACGACTACGGGACATCAGCTGCTTCACATCGTACTCAGTCATGTAGCTTGGACAGCTGAGTCGAGGAGCAAGTCTTTCGTGAGGTATCTCCAAAGTTGAGCCAGAGCGCTTTTTTTCGTTCAGCATGGTGAAGGCTCGACGTCGAGAGAGATCCTTGTCAGTCGAAAATTCTTGCGAAGCCGTCGCTCCCATTCCGTCTTCTTATTCTTGTTTTCGTAGTTTTGTTTGCTTAAATTTTTTTGTTGATGAGCAAAATGAAACGGTGCACGCGAAAGTGTACAACGGAATAGAAAGAAAGCGAAAAACGCTGCGGCGCTGTAGCCAACTGTACAGTGCACATGAGAAAAGGGGGAGGAGCTGAATTCCAAATAGACTACGAGTACCCAATAAACTTCCAAGGTTTGACTCGAACAAAAGTGCAGCTATCAGGATCTTTCGTCGTCATCAAAAGAGACAAAACTCAAAAATTGAAAGCAATGGCTTTGATCGTGGCTTATATACAATAAGGCTTAAAAAGATACAGGTTCCCGATAAGAAACAAAAGTTTGGCCGGAAACAGAGAGTTGTACAGTTCCCATGGGATAAGGAGGGAGCAAAGACAAAAAATTATTTTTCCATTTGGTAAATAGTTTCAGAAAAGCGGCTTAATGAGTTTGCGAAATATTATCATGCACTCACATGTTATCAGTAGTACTGTACACATGACAGACTTTCAATATTTTTCAAGTGATAAAACAAATCTTTTGAAGGTTTCGAGTTCAGACCTCCAAAACGCTGCACACTAATAAGCCCAAAAATTAGCTTTCTCCGCTGGGCAGCTAAGAAAAAATTCTCAAATAAACGAGCCAGGTAAAAAGATAATAACGAGAGCACAGTACGCTTATTCTTCTTGTTTTCGACGTCTTTTTTTCTGTACGGATAGTTTTATTTTCATAAAAATAAGCTTTCAAGAAAAAAAAAAGTACTACTATAGTCTGTCGAAAACTTAAACAAAAACTTCTCTGCAGGGTTAATCTGATTTAAATATTTGACACTCACAATATTTTCGACTTATCAAGAAATTCAAAAAAACTTCCTTCGATTTTTTTGATTTTTTTGTTCATTGATATTTTTTTGCTAAAAAAATAAACTTCGTATTTTACGTTCTCAGCAGTTGATCTTTTTCTAATTTTGAAGTTCAGCCTTTTTTTAAGGAAATTACGAATAATCGCAAATAGTAATTATATATAATTATTGAAAGGAGTACCTTTCCCTTAACTAAAAAAATTGAAAAAAATTTGGCAATAATAAAGAACTTGACAACTGATCGAATGCGTGAGAACCAAAATAAACAAACTGAAACGAGCGCGTGTTCGTTCTGAGAGGAAAAAAACATTACAAATTTTGCCAATTAACCAAAAAACTCGCCAAAAATAAAACTAAAATTTACCAAATTTTTGCACTGTCGCCTCATCTTATATCAAAATGAACGAACCGTTTAAAAATCGCTTGGATACAAAAATTATTCATTGTTTGACTTCATACCACTCACTAATTTATTCGGAAATTTGGAGTTCAAGACAGTTTTTCGCCCTACATCCACTAAAAACTCAAGAAAACGAGAGAAAATGACAATAATCTCAAACTTTAACCTTCACGCAGAAATAAGCGTGAGCAGGGGCGGAGGGCGTAAACAAAATATCTAAAATGCCAAAAGTTCCTCATTTAAATAGACGTAACATTTTTTGTGTGAATCAAAACAATTGAAGAATTTTTCGCTTTCCCTATGTTTGAAAAGCTTGAAGTGTAGCAGCGTCTCTTGCAAGAGTTGGTGAGGAAAACAGAAAAAAAAAACCAACATAACGGAAGAGCAGATCCAAATGTTCAAAAAGAGAAGGGCAGCAATGATGCCTGGAGTTTTTCACTGAATGAAGTTCCGACGGTACTTCACGGTAATCCCCAATCTCTGGTACAAACACAATTTCGAAGGAAAATTGAAAACAATAATGGAGATCGAACAGCACGAGATTTAACTTTGAGGCAGATTAAAACGCGAAGCGGCCAACTATTTTGACATCAAAGTTGATTCCTTTTAGACATCGTGAAATAAACCAAGGAACTTAATTATTAGAAACGTAAGCCATCTTTCTAGATCAAAATTCAGAAGCGACAAAAAGTAAAAAAAAAATGAATCTTTTGAACTTATTCACAAAAAACTTATATTTTTCCGATTGCCCTTTCGATTTTTGAATAAGATCAAAGCATTGACACAAAACGCAAAAGAAGCTGTGGACGAAAATTTGGAATAAAAGTACAGGGAGGAACGGGATGGTGATGCAAAATATGACAAACAAAGAAAAGGAGGAGGTCAGCGGCCGCAGAAACATCTAGAAACGGATGAGAAATTAGACGATCAGATGAATATGCCGCCTCTGTCTTTTGTGCACACCACTTTCAGCCAAAAAGTTTGGTCTTTTTGAAGTACTAAATTGCCTTAAAAACAAGAGGGAGACAAGTTTGCAGCGAATAGTACGAAGCGGTTTCGCTCTTTGTACAAGAAAAACAAAAGAAAATTTTCGAACGCTACACCAACGACAGAACAAACAGTTTTTCGTCTTCCATCCATGTTGCCGCATTACGAACGATGCCACGAAACGCAAAACAAACAAGCTGGGCACAATGGAAGGCGCATGGCCACTCTGGCTTTTCGTCCAAATGTACTTTCCAAAAAAACGTGTCTACGTCCATTTGATTTAGTGACAGCTGGGCAACTATTTGGAATAAATTATATTTCGAATAAAAATATAGAAAAATTCGAATAAAATTTTTCCCCAATAATCGAAAAACTAAAAGTGAGAGAGAGAGTTTTTTTTTTTTGGCTGATTACTAAAGTTCACTTGAAAAAAAGAGAATTGGACATGACTTCGAAATTTTGTGTTCTAGGTCGCGAAATATGAGTTATTTTCACCCAAATCGTAAAAAAAAAATCCATGAAAAGGCAATTTGGGTTCGGAATATAAAAGGAATTAAAATTATGAAAGAGGAACACATTCATATCGGAAAGCCACAAGAAAAGCGCGAGAATGGTCTTGATAAGAGCTGATAAGATGCTCCACCGAATTATTCCTTTTATGTCCTTCATTAGTTACTTCGACGTCACTAGTATTCTCTGACAAGCCGTGAATCATCAAAAGCTCCTTGTTTAGAAATATAATGTCGTCACCGCGAAGCTCGAAGAGCGGTCAAGATTAATCGCCGTTTGAACACTTGTAAATGAAACATATTTTGTGATAGCGGCGGAAAAAACAAACTGGAACAGATTGGGACCCATTTGTTTCCAAAACAATCTACGGTGGAAAAAAACAGTGTCAACAACTTGTCATGATGATCTACCTGCCATTAATTAGGTTGCTGCGGTCAACATCTAACCCAGTAACGATCAGAAGAGTGGAGGCCATGTGCTCCTCCCTCATGGGGAAAATGAAAGACAATTCCGTTCAGGAAAAAAAAGCCCAGGGGTAAAACTTGTTGGAATTTTACAACTTCCAAGAAACTCCTCAAAATGTTCCTAAAAAAAAAGGTCTTCTCAGCTAATTAATTAGATTTGACACCTTTTTTTAAATCGAATAATTCCCTTTCATTCAAAACCCTCTGCGTCCTTATTTTATACGGATTCTCTCGAAAAAATATTAAAAAAAAAACTCTGATAACTTGAAGAAGTTCCCCTAAACAAGAAGACCCTAGAAAAGTATTCAAACGGATTTTCGTAGAAAAGTCTTTATAAAACCAGTAAACTAAGCTTCGAGAAGAGTTCAAATATCGAATTTTGTGATTTTTCAATAACCTTCAAAAGTCAAAAAAAAAATCGCTTGCAAGAGAAAGTCCTTGAACATCTTTTTTCATTCGGGTTAATGGATTAGGATTTGATTTCACAATATTTTCCACTACATGAAATTTTCACTAAGTACAAAAAAACGTCGGATTATCAGAACCAAAGAAGCCTCAAAACGTATTTCGAACAGCTTGGGTAACTTGAATAATCAGCAAACATCAAGAACCTACGTAACCAACTTTCAAAGCATAATCTTCAGCACAAATATTGGCGAAACTCTGTTAAATTTCAAAAAAAGGGGAACCAATCAAAACAAGATTCTTTCTTTTCGCAGTCTGATTTTAAGAAGAATTTATCAGAAAGGTGATAATTACTCTTTTTACGAACTGTTTCTAAATTATCAACTAAAATGTCCTACCACTGTCATATTGATGAGCATTAAAAAAATTTGAAACCTTGATGATGAAAAAAACAAAAAAACAAAAAAACTATTTTTTTGATGTTTAAAAAAATAAAAATTTTTCTCATTTCGTAATATTAATTAGCCACGGAGAGCATATACACCGATCTGAGAGCCTTTTCTAGATTAAATACCCAATATTATTCGTTCATTTTCCTTGGGTTTCCTGTCAGAAACTGGTGAAGAGAAAACGGACCGGAAAGAGATTCGTCGGCTTTGGAGTCCAGCACGATGAAGCCCTTGTCCGACGTGTTGTGAGTCGAGCTGAGCGTCGTGTCCTGCGAAAGAAGGAAAGGTTCGCGGACTGAAGGATCCACTCACCAGCCCGTACTTCTCCGGCGTCCACTGCAGAAGGAAGTGGTAGATGTGGTCTGCCTTCGACCGCGGAATCGCAAACCTGAATATTTAGGAAATTTAAAGTTATCGAGGATGTACAAATAAATTCAGAAGGAGAGTCGCAAAGTTAAGAGAACTACAATAGAGAGAATCGTTTGAAACAACTTGAACAATTGTCATTTGGTTCTCATCCAGCATTGCCACAGAATATCTAGGTGCGAAAAAAATGAATAAATAAATGAACTAGAAAAAGTTGAAAGCCTATATTTAACAAGGAATGCCATTTTGCTCTGCGGTCGGAAGTTTTCTAAAAATTGGCCAGAACACTTCCTGAGGCACCAGATCAAAATCCTGCAAGTCCGAACCACCAGTTTCCTATTTTTCTAGAAAAGATACTTTGAGGTCAAAAGGAGCCGTCGAACACTTGCGCCGGACTTATTTTAATTTTCCAAACCAAAAAAAGTTCTGTTAGATTTTTAATATTGGTAGATGCCAGGAAGTCAAAAAAATTTAATAATAGTTTTTCTCTTATTTGCCAATAAATCTACAGAAAAATTTGTACAAATGACCCATCCAGTAATATAAACACTCGATTTGAACTTGGTCGAAATCACTAGTATTTTATGTCAGTCTTTGCCAATATGAAACATTTCGAAAGGGCAACGATTGAGAATGAGAACCTCTGGCCAACCTACCAGAATTCGCGTTTCAATTTATTTCCAAAGTTTATGTCTTCCTCGTAAGACGACGAGAACGAGCTGGGCGAAGATCCTGCAAAACAAAATCCAGAGTTATCCTGAAAAGAGGTGAAATTTGAGGCTGAAAAGTCGCGTGGGTCCCCGAAGATCGATGTGCGCGAAAAACAAAGCGCGGAAGGAGAGTCGCAGATCGCGAAAAAGCTCCTTCCAAGGCTCGACCTTTTCACTTTTCCTTGAACCTCACGAGATTTGAATCTAACTTTAAGAAACGACTTTTACAATTCCCTGAAACATTTTTCAGTTTGATTCTTTTTTTCGCAGAAGGCTGCTTCAACTTTTCTATGTAACGTTACTGTTCTTTTCAGCTTATTCTGTCTATCACTGCTTATTTTTATCGAGTGTCTCGATGAATCAGAGAAGTCATGATGACGTTTTTTACCCCCCGGTTGAACTTTTGCTGAAACTTTGCTGAAGTGTACTTTAGAACCCCATGATTCCAGAAAAAAAAAGAAATTTTTTCGCAATAGATCTCGTTTTCGAGTTAGGACACTTTAAAAACCCGAAATAGCGCTTTTTTGGCCTAATTTGCGTATTTTGCCCACTTTGAAGCTCTATAACTCGGAAACAAGATCTATTGCGAGAAATTTTCTTTTTGTTCTGGAATCTTAAAGTTCTAAAGTACACTTCAGCAAAGTTTCAGCAAAAGTTCAACCGGGGGGTAAAAAACGTTCCCTGGTGAGAGAATTATCCGAAGTATCGCATTATTTTAGAATCCTATTCCATACTTTTCCTTTTTTGCATATTTCCGATGCGCGAGATATTTTTTGTAGAAGCTACAAATGTTCTACTTCCTCGTCCTCTTTAAATATTTTTTTCCAAGCGGAAGAAATTTCAGCGAAAAAAACTCCTGGAAAAGCCTCACTTTGCGATTTCCTTTTTTTCATTCTTGTCAATCGAACGGCCATGTAGAAGGGCAACATTGGCTGGGCGTTGCCTTCGCTCTAAAAATACTCATTTATCGGGAAATGATGAGCTCAAGTTTATAGATTAGCTAGGAAACGTTAAAAAAGACTCTTGACGATTCCGATGATAATTTTTGCAAATCTTCAAAAATCCCCAACAAATTTAGCAATGATTTTTTCCAGGTAAAAAAATTTTGGAATGTCTAAGAAGACTCAAAATTAAAAGATAACTTTGATTGTTTTATTGCACCATTTTGTAAAATCTGTACAACACCCAAATAATGTTCAGCTACCTAACCCCAAAAATTTTCTTGAGTTCAGCCGAGCTTCTCATCAAAAAAAAATTCGTAAAATGAACCATATTCAAAAGAAGAGATTTTGATTTCATTAACGCAAAAAAAGAGAAAAAATTCAGCTAAAAACATTCAGAAAATCACATGAGAAACTTTTTTTTACCTTGATGGATGCGGTACTGAACAACCGAATTTTTCTTGCTATTCTGTTTTTTTGCTATATAGGCCATGAAATTTTCATGATTGAGCTGGTCAACTGAATTCACGAAAAATATTCGACAAGCTTCCATTTCTCGCTCTACAGTTACATTCTTCAGTAAGGATCAGAAAAAAAAAACGCGAACCTTAGAGCGAGTTTTCTCAACGATTTCATCGACAGACATGAACAGATCGGGCATTTCATCTGTGGACGTGGCACAGGAGAAGCTGCAAATTTTCAGATTATCACTACTTTCTTCTCATAAGAATCACATGCTGTTTTTGTTTTCCTTCTGGGAAATTTCCCTCGCTTCGTTTGTCCGCTGTCGCAAATCTTCGAGTTTCGCCAACGATTGCTCTCTTTTGATCACCATCGGACTGCGCTCATCCGAATTCTGCAAACATTTCGTTATTATGAAATCTTTTAACGACCGCATTTCAGAAGACGTCCATGAGCAAGTCGAATTATTAACTGGAATTTCAAAATTACAAAGTTTTGTCGAAAAAAAAAGAAGAAACATTCGCTTTGAAATGTTGATAATCTTTACTTTATTCTCATAAAAATACGGACTTTTTTTTAATTTCATCTCACCGGCGCCAAAACTTTAATTTTGTGATAACGTTTATTAATTTAAAAAAGAAACGCAACTTTTTTATAGTAAAAAAATTTAGAATCAATTTGAAATTTGAGGAAGAGCTTATTTTTCAGCCCCAATGTTGAAAATGCAGTTATTTCGAAGGAGTTTCCGATTTTTGCATTCAAAGTATAAATGGTGGCTTATTGCACTGTTCACAGGGTTCGAAATCTCTTATCTCGGGCATTTGCTCCTTTTTAGCTAAGTCTAAGTCGAAGGTAGTTTTTGTCAAAAGAGATCGACCTCCTCGACGTCGACGCTGAACAGGTCGGTGACGCCGTTGAGACCGTCGTTCACCAAGGATTGTCCTCGATCCACGACTCTGCCCGCCACGTCCGCAGCCGCCTAAACGCTCGCAGAGATTATAAAAATCAAACGTTCTCGTTTTGGTTCTTAACGTGCCTAGCTATCTAACATTAAATTATTTCAACTCTCTTTTTTTCAAATAAAATACCGTCACTCAAGTTTTTTTTTTAGTTTAACGTTCTTTTTCACTGTTTAGTATGAACAAAAAAACACAGAAAGCTTTTTAAAAAATTTTAAAACTCTAGAATTTCAAAAAAATTGCTCGACCTGAATATAAGATTGAAAAAAAAGAAAACTGAGGCTTTCATTGACAAAATTTTGACTTTACTACCAAAGAGAATTCTGAAAAGCTAGAGCTCGGTATTTTCATTTTTGAATGGATTTAAGACTTCTTTTACGTTATTTCTTGTAAAAAACGAAAGAAGAAATTGAATATGGTCTAGACCAAAAGAATAGGCTAAAAATCTTCTCGGCGAAAAGTTGGAATAAAGAAGCTGATCCTACTGTACCTTCGCCTGTTCACCGACAACCTTGACGCCATTTTCGATTCCACAATGAAGAGTGTCTGAAAAAAAACTCAGCTTCCACTCAATTTCGAGGCAAAGTCATACCGGCTGCGCTTTTCGTGTGAGTCACGACTCCATGGGCGACGGTTTTGGTGCCCTGGACAGCCGTGGCGGCCATCTGGAAATTCCGAGCAATTGGAAGAAAAACTGAGGATCCAGTCAACCTTTTCCGCTCCCTGAGCCACTGTGCCTTGTATGGATTTCGCTCGAGCGCTGAAAAAAATAGAATTTTATTCGATGTGGAATCCTAGCTCGATAAGTTTAAAAACCTTCTTTCAGCGCTCAAAGCAATCTTCTTTTCTTTCTCTTTTTTGGATACATCTTTTTCATCGGAAATTTTTTTCTTTTGTTAGGATAACTTTTTAGAAAAACTAGATAATCTACGTAGCCTGATCGAATTAGAAAAAATTATGAATCATTCCGATCGTTGACGGATGTGAGCTTTCCTGTGATTCCTTCAGTTCTAGTCAATTTTTCTAGGTTGTTTCATTTCTTCAAAATTTCTCTGATAATATATCTGCTTTTGTTCTTGGAACCTACAACAATTTTGAATTCAGATGAGAGGAAAAATTTTTCAAGAGTGTATATTCATTCATGATATGAAACTTAATAAGGTTTTTTTCAGCTTTCAGGGTTTCTTTAAAAAACATATTGAAAAAAATAGAAAAATTCATCGCGAAATTTATAGTTATTCAAAAAAACTTCATTGTTTTTTTACCTTTTTAACAATTTCTATAAAAGCTGCAGGGAATTTCCGAAGTCCTTACTGATATCCGCGCTATCCGGACTTTTTACTTAAAAAAATGATTAGACAACTTCATCCATCCCTTAGACGAATTTTTTTCCCCAATTATTTTTTTAGCTATTATCTTTTTTTATCGTAGATTTACAGTTTTCAAAAAAATAGGGCATATCAAGCAAAACCTTTTAATTCTGAACAACGAGATTTTGGCTGGAAAAGTCGGTCGGTTCGGTCGCTAATTTATGATGCCTATTTTTTCAAGTTTTCAAGCTTTGAAACGTTTTTTGGGCTTTATTGAGGTTTTAATGCCGTTTTCAAAGTAATTTTCAATTTAGAACAAAAATACTTCAAAATTTTCCAAAAAAGGCCATTCGAAAAAAAAAAAATGACCGAACCGACTTTTCCAGCATGCCCGAAATTTTTTTATTTTTACTTTTTATGGAATCCTGTGAATAACGCCAAAATCTTCTACTTTTTGTTTCCACCGCCCGTCTCGGGGGGCGTGAATGAACCTGAGAGTTCTGCCGAGTTTGCCGAAAGAGCGACGAGCGGCGTTCGGGGAAAAGCGACCGATGCCGCGGGCGTCGGTCGGCGCGTCGAGTTCCGAGAAGCTCCGCGGCCGCTCTTCCTGCGAACACGAAGGCTGCGGCGACCGTCGTCGTCGGCTCGCGTTTTCTGTCGCTGCGAATCTCTGTTTTGCTTCTTCTGCGGGAAGCTGCGAACCTTCTCCGACTGTTACCGATCTCTTTCTCCTTCCGTCTTCTCCTCGCGCCTTCTCTTCGACTGGAGAGTCGTGCTTGTTCGACTCTTCCGTTATTGCCGGCAAGAACGTTTCGCTCGCAGGTTTTGAGGAGTATTCCGCCTGAAATTCAAAAACTTATGACACAAAAAAGTGAAGACTTTTCTATAAATTCGCCGAAAATCATTACTTTTGTTTTTAAATGTTACCGGAAACTTTATGGAAATCAGCCAGGACATCCTCTAGTTTATCAGACGATGGCCACAAGAGAATAAACCATTTTTTTTTTCGAAAAAAATATATTGTGTTAAAAAAAAGTAACTTGTTCAAACTAAGAAAATATGAATATAAGATTCGGATTTGTGGATTATGGTAGGGGATGAAGCATGAACTTTGTACTGACAGTATCTTGACAAGTTAGAAGATTTTACAGCGAATGTACTATGCAAGAAGCGATTTCAAGAGAGTAGTATTTTGTATTTCTGAGAAATGCGATGCAGGAACCTGTTCATCGACGCCGCTGTCGCCTCCTGCATCCGAGTCGTTCTGAGTGTAGAACTGCACGGAATCTTCAATTTTCCGTCATCATTATTGCTTCAGTATCATTATTATCGGTTGAAACGCATTTAGGCGTTTTCAAATATAATTGAGACAGCGAAACAATACAGCTTATCCAAATGTAACTTTTTTATTAGCGAAAAGGCTTTCAGCTGAAAAACCAATTCTTTTTGAAGATGCAAAAGTTGGAAAAGGCTCACCAGAACGCTCCGTTGCGGGTTCCTCGCCACCTTCACGCTGAAAAGTTTTATTCATGTTAAAATAACGAAGATGTCAAACCATACTCAGAAAGTTTGACTACTTTTCCAGTATTGAAAAATATTAAATTAGGTGTGTATAGGATTAAATTGGAAAGTGGCTGAATTGAAGCTTTTTATACTACTCAGATCGATATGAAATAAAAAAATAATCTAAATTTTTTGAAGGCTTCAAGAAAAAACTTCCAAGTTCCTCCTTTGATTAAGTATTTTTTGGCAACCTCACCTAAATGGATAAAAACTTCCCAAATCCGACTTCCAAGCATTCTAACGGGCAAAAATCCACCTGAGGACTGTCCGACGGAGTTCTGACGTGGTCGGGGTCGAAGATGTCGCGTTTCTTCTCGTTGGTGTCGCCTGTCAATCCTCCAATCTCTTTGTAGACCGAGACAGCCACGATCTCGTCCATGCTGGAAATGTAGCTGAAGAAGACGTCAGCGAGCAGAATCTCACTTGGCGACCATGCCGTAGAGGTCCGGACCGTTCTCCTTGACCAGCGGATGCGAAACGTCGGGGTCGAACATCAAGCAGTTCGGAGTGACCAACAACGTCCCGGAGACCGTTCCATCCGACTCCGTCACTTGTTTCACCTGGTAACTTATTAATCCTATTTTCGTGGAAAATACGCTTTAACTTTTCATATCCATTGCGAACGTCGGCTCTTTGCGCAAAAGACTTTTAGCATGAAAATCCCAAATTTTCCCTGATCATCACTTTTTTGATTTCTTTTTTTTTTTCATGCTTCTTCTATGACGACGTTTTAGAAAACAAGAATAATGAACCTTAACCAAAAATTGTATTCCTTCAACCGCATATGGAATATGGAAAACATTGAAAATGTATCGTTTGTGTCAAGTTGTTTCTTTTTTGTTGCCTGATTATTTCTCAATCATGGTGAACATTGAAAAACCAGAAAAAAATAATATAATATTTGCGCGTGAACTTGAGAGAACTTTTGAATGTTACAAGTTATTTAATCTGTTGAACAAAGAAATCAAAAAATGAAAGGTTTTTCGTGAAACTAGTTTTCCAGTTTGATGAAAATTTGTAAAAAGCATAAAAATTTGGAGCAAATTAAACTTTTTTTCCAAAGGGTAAAAATTGGAAGAAGCAAACTTTGGTTAGTGATGAGAATTTTCCATAGATTTATTTGAATCTCTTTAGATTATCACTTATGATTTTCGAGGTGAAAACGTTCATATTTCATTTGCACAACTGCAAAATTAATCATGTTGAAGCATAAAATGAAAAAAAAAATTAAAAGGTTTCTCAGAGTTGGCCAAAGTCTGCTCTTCCTTTATTTCAACTTTTTCGTATAGAACAATGTTCATTTCAACCCTTGAAACTGCCGAGAAAGTATTTTTATGGGCTTTTTTTCTCCACATAATCCATTAAGGTATTTCACGAAAAAATTGGATCTCTAAACAGAAACCCTTGAGAAAAGCAACTGAGTCCCTCCACCATGGAAAACGGCTCACTTTGATCTTCAAGAATCTTTGGAGACAGTCCGTGTCGACGTCGTCAGAAGCTGCCCGACTTCTGCCGGAGACCGGAGCGCTGTGCGTCTTAGTCAGAGAGTTGCCTCTGGCCCCGGCCGGAACCGCCCCGCCGGGTCCTTTCCGAATCCCGTCCGCTGCAAAGAACATCCTCTCAAAAACTTAGTTGTTCTAGAAAATCAATCCAATGATTTTCAAACAATCTTCTTCCCGTCAAGCAACTGTCGTGGAAAATAAGGGAGACATTGGTGACTCGAATAAATACTGAAATTGACACCGAGAAAATTCTTTTTTTATTTGATAGCTTCTTTCAGGTGATGAGAAGCTTTTTTTCAGTAAAAAACATACCGAACATCAAAAAATTGAGAAATTTTGAAATTTACTGCAAAGAAATCAGAAATTTTCACGTTTTATGCAGATTTAAAAAAGACAAAATGACTTCTGGAGCTAAAACCCGAAAACTCGAAAAGAAATAGCTGCGAACCTTCTCCGACTGTTGGAAGATAGCTACTTCTCCGATTTTAGAAAAAAAAAACAGAGAATGAGAAGCAAACCAGCATTTTCACTGCCGGAAATCAGCTTGCCACTGCCTTTTGTGGAGTTTTCGGCTGCTGGTGGCGGATGGAAGACGTCGTCTGAATTCGGCAGAGGAACCAGGATTTTCTGACCCGGAAACACCTGAAACAACAAATTCATTCGCATGGAAAAAACTCATTTCCCAGTTTCATGTCACTTCTACTGATTGAACTATTGATTATATCAGAGAAAAGAGAAGAAAAAACATTGTTTCGAAGAAAAAGAAGGAAAAGGCACGTGAACAGGAAAGAGAAAGCAACAAAGACAAAAAAGGAAGGAGAAATGAATGGCCCACCATGCGGGAACCCATTTTGTTGAGCTTCATGAGTTCGCCGACGGTGCAGTCATGGGCGGCAGCTATTCTTTCCAAAGAATCGGCGCCGCCGACTGTGTACTCCATCTGAAATCTTTGCTTTTGCTCATATAATAGACGAAATTCGAAATTTTACGCAATGAAAGCATTTTTTTTTAGAAATAAAAAATTTTGAGTGATCTTGTTGCGCAGTTATAGAACCAATGTCTTGCTGAGGGTTCAAACAGAATTCATAGAAGTGGGAAACGGAAAAAAAAAGTTGATTGAAAAAAGCGTGAACTGCCGAAATATCATGATGGAGGAGTTATTTGAAGTGCGTTTTTAAACCAAAAAAAACCTAATGAGATATTCTTCTTTGATTTTCTATCTCTTGAGTGAAGTTAGAGTAGAAGGAATTCCCCCTCTCTACAATGAAAAAAAATCCCTTCAATCTTTTTATCTTTTCCCCAATGTCTGTGACTTCTTGTATCAATTCTTTCCAAAAGAAACGCATCGGGAAATAACATTCGACGCGTCATTATAATTCACTCACTGCTAGCTTTTCACAAAAACACAGAAAATAACTTTGGAATTATTTTTTACGCAAATTTTGCATAGACTAATTCATTAATTTTCGTAGAAGTTTCAAAAGCTATGAAAAATATAGATAATCAGTCAGTCTTCTGCGCACTCATTACTTGGCGCAAAAAAAGAAAGAAAATGAAAGAAGAGGAGGAAGATGTGGAGAGGCGCTGAATGGGTTTTTGTTCTGAAACAAGCAGTGCACGCACATGGAGGCGGCCTCAGAACTCTTTCCGGCTCTACGCAACTTCCAAGGAGGCGCGCTTATCAACGCAAATATATTTCCAAACGAATTCTTAACGCTATTTTTAATAGCTTTATCAAATTCTGACAATATATTTCAGTTTGAAATAAAAGCAGAATCATGAAGCTTCGTTTTCAATTTTCTTTTCGCATTCTACGAGAAGATAATTGTTCAACAGATTGATTAAATCCAGTCCGTGTTAAACATTTTTGGGATTGAACATGGTTATCTGCAGGAAAATCCTCGCTGATGTTTTGAAGGAAAATAGACAAAATTTATAAAGATCTCGAGGCAAAAACATTTTCCAGTTAGGATTTGGTTTGGTAAATAAATGAACTGCCATTCTGTGTTCTTTTTTCATTCCCTAAAAATATACATCTAGTTTTATTTACGACGTTTGAATCTTATGCGCTTTCGAACACCGCTGCAAGAGATTCTGGAGAGACCATGTTTTATGTGTACTGAACGCTCGAAAAAACCTAGAAAAATTTTTTAATGAATTATTAAGCCAATTTTCCTGTTCTAATGGATAACGGCGCAATTAAATCGATCCTTTAAAACGTAGGCGATCTCGTAAGGTCGAAAAAAGACTCGCAATTTCTGAATCTCAGTACACGATTGAATGTGAACAAAACTACAAAGACGATTGTTTTCGTCCCGAAAGAACGTAAAAGGTAATCAATAGAAGTGAACTGGAAGCCGCGCAAAATTCACAACAGAACACCATGATAACATCGGAAAAGTGTTTTGTCCCAAATTATTCGCACGTCTCGAAATTTGCGGCTTTTGAAGACTCCTTTTTTTCGATATCATATCGATCGTTTCTCTGAATCAATGTAGAAGCTAGCAAAAAACAAGTTCGTAAAATTTTATTTTGCAAAGAAGAAAGCTTCTGGACAATCTCGGCACCTATAGCAACCTCCGTCGATAGAGCCATCGGAAAGACCAAAAACCAAGTTGATAATGAATACTCATCCGTGCCATAACGACGGATTGCCACTGAGAATAGCCAACAAACTTGCTTGAAGCTGCTCGCGAAGTGAACAAGAAAGAGTTGAACAAATTGAGAATTGGGCCAAGAAAACGAACACGAGCCGAACGGAAATGAGAGGTTTTCTGCGTTGAAACCAACCACTTGGTCACACAAAACGCAGAATACGTATTAGAGAGTGAAAACGTGCAGAGACATCTTTTGAGCCAAAAGGAAGACGATGGAGAAAAACGCAACAAATTCAATCATGCAATGCACCACACACAAGAAGAAGAAGAAGAAGTTGGTTCACAGCAAAAACATGCGTTTTGTCTGTAAATGAACCGAAAGTCCCAGTACATCGAACCAACAAAAAAACTCTTGCAGTTTGTGGAATTTGGCACGAGACGCGGAACTGCAATAAAGGAGTCTCAAGAATCCATATGATAGCGTGTTTGCTGAAGATCTTGACTCGACACGTGCTGGATTTACAAAGGACGCTTCTCTCTTCGAAAATGCATTGTTTCCCCATAATTGGGGAAGAAATGAATGCTGGAGATGCTAACTTGAAAAAATGTTACAAATGATTTCAAAAGTTGAGTCATAAACCTGATAAAAAAAGGATAACTTTTCAAAAAAACTGAAGTTGAAAAATGAAAAATCAAAAAGCTGCAAAAAGAAATTTAAAAAAAGATCTTTTTTTGACGAGAGTCTCCCCGATTTCCATTTGCGCTATTCATGTGAACTAGTGGCGTCCCTCCTTTTTATAAGTTTATATGTTTTATAAACATCAGATGAAAATTTCAAAAAAAGTGAACGAAAGATAGTTATAAAAATATTCATCTTCTTTTTTTCAAGTACTTCAAATTCTGAAGTGCAAAAAAACACGCTCATGTGATCAAGAGGTATGAGGTTAGATATGAAGCAGTGATGATCTCAGCTGCTCTCAGAAACAAAAAACGAAAAAAAAAATGAAGAATGAAAAGAAGAATAGCCGGCGGCTAATTGATTGGAAGGAGTGGCCACACGCATGTACACAACTGAATCCCGCAAAAGGCGGCCCCAACTTCCAATGTTTACTTTTTCCTTGGAGCGCCGCTCCAATAACCATGAAAGCCACTGTTTTGCCACGAAAATCATCTGTTCTCTGCGTGGCAAATAAGCTTCCGAGTCAAAAATTGATACACACAACGAGGCCAATATTTATTTATTATGCCTGTTTTGAAAATAAAAATAAAAATAAATCTTTCGAATTATCGCTTTTCCTTGAGTTTTCAAAAAAGAAGAATATGTTAAAACATTGGTCAAAAAAATGACAAAAACCCACAAAGTGGTTACATTCATTTCTCTCGTCTCCCTCGCTCTCTCTCTCTCAAAATCAATGTGAGAACTGGAACTCATGGTGTGTAAATAGATAGAATCACATTACTCTTTTTCCCTTGCACTCTGAACAATACAATTAATATGAAATGCAACTTCGAATGAAAAAACAAAGCAATAAAAGAGTTTTCGAAAAATTCAAATCTACGCAGAGGCTTAAATTAAGAAACTTCCCATTTTCTCATCATTTTTTGGTCTTTAGCTTCTCTTGAAGGTCATTTGCACTTCAAACACCTTTTTCGCAGTTATTCATTTTTATTATTTCTTTAAAGCTTAAAAGATCAAGTTATTAATCATTTCATGTTTTTAATTTTTATATCGGAAGCTTTGATGGGTTCGAACTGAATATATTCGTGAATCTATCATGAACATTAAGTCAACCCAAATTATTTGGCTCTAGAGGTGGCGGAAGACTATGTGAAGAGTAGATATTGCGAAAAAAAAAAAAATTAATCTCTCTAATCTCTCTCTCTCTCTCTTTACCCTCCACGGCTGACACACGGAAAATAACAAAAAATTTTATACTCACATATCCTGAGAAAACAGTGTGCTAGAAATAGACTGACGAAGATGTGGCGCAATATTGGCTTCATCAGAAATTTTTCTGTTTTACGCGCGTTTTCAAGAATTTTTTCACGGCCTAATGTAAAAATGCACACCTCAGAGAAAAATCTTAGGGAAATATTAGGGTTTTTGCGAAAATTCCTTCTTAACTGTTTCTACCTCTCGTTCGAAATTTTTCGAGATATTTCGAAAAAAATATATTTATATCTATGTTGCTTCGTGGCACCCAAAAAGAAGGAAGAAAAATAATATTCCCTATAGGATGACTTATTGTCAAACAAAACATTGCTCCGAAGCGTCAAACGCTGCGGTTAGAAATAGGAGAAGGAGAAAGAATTATCGAGACAACATCTGAAGAAGCTCAACCTGGAAGGCGGGAATTTTGGCGGAAAGTGGAGCTGGAGAAGAGGTTGAGGACGTCGAGCTCCTGAGGCGAACCGGCGAGAGACTTCGGAGACTGCCGATCCGCGTCAAAAGATGATCGGCCAGCATACTGCAGCATCACTTTAGCAAGATAACAGAAGAACGAAGGAAATTGAATGCGAAAATGGAGTGATGCCCGACATAATAAGTCTGTAATGTACTTATGCTTTAATTACCGTCGTCGAAAGCCTACAATTTTTTTTTTCAAATCAAAACAAAATTTTCAAATATGAAGCTCATTCCCAGGTGATTCCATTATAAAGCACCGCATTTCTTATTTGAGAAACTGTAAGTCAAATAGGGTTGAAAAAAGTTTATAATGAAAATTTAAAAGTTAGTTTGAATGGATTTTACAAAAAGAGGTACATTTTTTAGAACTTTCCAATGTTTCAATACATTTTTGCTTATTACTCACAATTTTCAGTGCACAGCGGATTCGAACTTACGCAAAACTTTAGAAGCTGATGTTAATGAGATTCAAGCTCTAAAAAGAGGTTTTCGTGATAGAGAGTGAGAGAAACGCAAGTGAACAATCTTATTCAAAAGCAGCTATACATAAAATGACTGAAAAAGCCGAAAAGAAAAATGCGTGGAAAGGCATAAATGGTGGTAAAGGAGCCTTTAAAAAACTCAAGGCAGGGAAAAAACGACTCAAAAAAAAAGGATGAAGCTGGGAGAATTCTGAAAAAAAATTCCTTATGAGAAAATCGGTCGACAAAAGTCGGATTAGCGCAGAGGAAAAGTTATTGTTGCCTGCTCGGGCTTTAGTTGGCCGAAAAACAAGACCCGGATGAAGTAAAAACTTTCAATCTTGGAAGAGTCATCCACCGCGCGAGTTTAGAACTCCAGGAAAAGTTGAACTTCGATAATTAAAGTCATTTAATGAGTGAATTATTATCTAAAAACGTTTTGTCTTGAAAACCCAAGAATAGCGAATTGCATTTAATAAATTTTCGAGTTTCTCTCGGCGAATCGTGGATGCACTTAATTTGAGATTCAAGTCAGTGGGAGCCTGGCTATGGATTGCCTGCGAAGGGTTGGAGTTTGGTCGACGACATCGGCTCGGATATATGCGCAGGTATTCAAAACGAGGACACGTAAACCAACTCGCGAGAGCTCCAAAAAACGCACTCAAACCTCTCTCAAATTCGAGAGCGTCTCATTGCAATAAAAACCAATCAAATCATATTCTTCCATCGAGTTTTTCTCGAACTATTACTAATTTAATAGAAGTAATTTCAAAAAAATGTTTTGATCTCTTCTTCTCGTATTTGTGTTTTGAAAAAATACTTTTTCAGAGATCCTCAACTTTTTCTTCGATAGAGTTTTTCTTATAGAACGAGGAACATCGTAAAATCAAATTTGCTGAGAAAAACCCATTGAAAAATAGAAGATTTAAAGAAGGCAGTCATCGAGATCGAAGTTTCACGTCGATAAAATACGAGCTTAACTCATTTCCAATACTTTAGCCTAAAATTTAGATCTTATCATCTGAATCTGGAGGGAAGCCTGATTAAAACATTTCAAAGCGCAGCAAGTGCACAAGAGCAAAAGAAATAATGCATAAACTCTGCTACAATCAAACAGGAAGAGAATGGGAAAAGCAATTGTCTGTCGCAGTTTCTTGAAAAAAAAAACACACACACACGAGGGATTTCTCACCCCTTCACTGCGAGTAAACTAGTAAATGTGAAGAGTAAAACAAAAGTGGCTTCATTTCAGAAAGATAAGCTTTCAATATCCAAATACAACACTAAGAAAAAACCTTCAATGAAGTGAATACCTACCCCTTGCGCCTTCGATCGCCACATCTTCACGGTGGAAGCGAGTTGTGGACCTACCGTTCCACAATCTAACGAAGATTTCCTGCAAAAGAAAAAAAAACGCTTTCTGAAAAGTTGAAACGAAACAGACGATACATATTTCGCGCTACAGGGACCATATTGTTCTTTTTGAAGACCAAGGTTCATGTTGAGTTGAATGACTACAACTTCAAACTTAGATGGGATCAAAAAAATATTGAATAAGTAAAAATAATATATAGAAAAAATAAAAAAATTTAAAGTTTTTACAAAGTTACATAAAAAACACTTTTAGACGATTTTTTATGCCGCTCAAGAGGAAAAGAGCATGCCAGGGCGCATGCATCAGTTTAGATAGCACGGTAAACTTGGAAGACCAGACTTGTGCGCTGGTCTGCCGTATTCTGTTAAACTAGGCATGCCAGCGCGCAGGTCCTCAGACAGTGTGCAGAGCGAGGAGTACGAGTCTGCTCTCTACGAGTTTACCGTGCTCTCTAATGCGCTGGTTCGCCGTTTCTTGGTTAAAATGCGCGCTGGCATGCCGTTCTGCCCATGAGCGTGTTCAAAGTGTTTCCGCGAAACTTGAAATAACCGTCAGAATGCAAAAAAGATGACAAACATTTAGATGGACAGCAATAACTTTGAATTTTTGATAATAATGCCGTGTTCAAAGTAATTCCGCGAAATTCAAAATAGCCGTCAGAGAAAGAGAAAGATAACTAAATTTTGGAGGGTCAGAGACCATTTTGCATTTCGCGGAAATTGCTTTGAACACGGCATAAGTTCACGGCGTTCCAAAAGGGAACTCGCAAGCGAGCCGATGAGGCGTTTCATTTTACCACGTTCGTTGGAGCGTACTTGCGCAACAGAATTTTTTTTGAAATTTTACAATTTCTTAAAAATTCGTTTTTGACTTTTTCTGAGATCTCATGAGACGTTTCGATTGAATTTAGAGTTTTTCTTTGTGATTTTATGATGTCCATGGAATAGTGAAAGCTTTCAAATCATAAAGAAGCAATTCGATGAAGTTACACTGGAAATTGTCCGTATAATTGCTTCTCAGCCTTCAAATCGGCTTTACGAAACATTTTCAGCTACAAACCTATGGTATTCATTTTTTAGAAGGTAAAAGAATGATGGGTCAACGTTAGATTGAAGAGGGCACCAAAAAAATGTTGGGCTACTCGTACGAATTACACATACAGACGCAAAGTCACATACTCTACAAAAAAATAATTTGAATTATTTCGCTGTAGAAAACTGGACTTCGAAAAATTTTTGTTATCTTTTTTTCGCTCTAGGACGATGAATGACTATTATTCTTATTACATTTCAATAATAAAAAAATAATTTTAGGTTGCCAGAAACTTTTACGTGTATTCTTTCATTTCGCCTTGACAAGAAAAATTACTTGAGAGAGGAAAAGCTTGAATGGCCGCAAAGAAAAATCTTCTGGCTTTTTGTCCTTCGGCTCATTTCTAAACTCTAGAAATTTTTTTCAAAGAAGATAATCTTGGTTTTTCTTCCTGTTCAAGAAAAAAATTTCTAGCGAAATAATTTTTTTGCCAAAATATACTTGAAAAACGTATCGAAATGATTCAAAGGTAAAAAAACTGATAAGGAGACCATTAAAAAGCGTAAGTGAGAACAATGAAGAAATCGATCAAAAAAAAATGTTGACGTTTTTTTCAAAGCTTTGAGGTAGAAAAAGAAAACCCAAAAACGAAAAAAAATGATAAATATTTCGCAATTTGGAAAGAAAATAATAAAATGCTGAGAAAAAAAAAATGTGAAAAGCGACAAGTAACGAAAAAATGAGCGGAAAATGAGCTGATCAGTGATCCCGGCATTTAAATGCGAAACACGGCCGAGCAATTTGGTACGCAGCCAAAACGTTCGGTCAGACAGACGGGTGCGCTGAGAGTGCAGGTGAGGCGACAGGTAAACCGGTCGAGAGGGCCAGTAGGTTAACGAGGAAAAGTGCGACACGCTGGTAAAGCCCACAAAAAAAAACTCTTCTCGTGCTACCTATAAAAACTCAATTTTTCAATTTTGTTCAAAAAAAAGATTAAACTTACAGCTTTTTAAGAAGTTCTTCTAACCTGATAGTTATACAAACGAGTTAACTTTTTATTTATTGCATGCAAATTAAGGTTTCCTGTGAAATTTCTTTTTGCTTTTTTTCTCTCTCTCTCTCTCACTCGTTTTTTACTTTTGAAGAAATTAATTAGAATAAGATTTTTGAAAGGCGTAAAGAGACATCGATCACGTTTTCCTCTCCGGTTCTGCAAGAATCGAGAGCACGGTTATATATGTTATGTAATCCGTTTTTTTTGATTCCAGAATAAAGCTCACTTTACGGTTAATTTGAAAACCTGGAGGTGTGCTCAGAAAAAAGAGTTTACTAACCACTTCAATTCTTCACTTTCTGTCCAAAAAATAACGAAAAAAGTTTTGAGATCGAAAAAATAAGAGTTCACATGAAAAATGAGAAAATTTTTCCTATTAACTAAACTGTACTGATGCTGCGGAAAAATACACCAAAAACTAAAAAAAAAGTAATTTCGTACTAGCCTGTTATTATAGAGTAAGTTTATTCTTACGAGTGGAATGAGTGGAAATCTTTTTTTTAGAGTAGGTGCAATTAGAAAAAAACTTCTAAAAATAAAGGGAATTCCAAAAGCGAAATGATTAATGATATGCTTGGTCGAGATGAAGGAATAAATAAAGAATGAAAAAAAAAACTAAAGACGAAAAGAAGGTTCGGGACGAGTCAGGACAACAGCAACAACGACGTCGCCCATCAGATTCCAGCTGCAGGCGTGCAAGGCGAAGATCCACAGCACCGTTGCGTACTCGAATATGGCGAACAGTTCGTAAGCTGAAATTATCAAGAAAGGTTAAAAATTGAAAGCATTTCTGTTCACATGATTTGCTTCATAGGCTACCAACCTGCCGGCAAACAAAACACGTTGTGAAGAACGAAGAACAGAGAAATGGCGGGTACAGAAATTGAGAACCCTAGAAGGGCCACAAGCCGGATTCGAGCACAAGTGTTCTTCTGTGAAAACTCCAGTTATTTTTGGGAGTAACTCGAAATGGACTTCTTCCACGATATGAGAGTTATGAAGAAGCCAGGTAAAAAGAACGCTGTTTATGGCGGTAGTAGTGGTGTAGCCGCAGAAGAATACCATATGCAGAACTTAAATTCCAGTATGACTTGAAAATTCTCGCAGTGGTTCTACTTCCGTCCTCGCGCTCTCCGACGGTCGCCAGTGAGCTCAAGAAGACGGAGGAAACTGCAGCGCTGACTGAAGCTCCGCTCCTGAGCAAGTTCTTCCTTGAGTGTGTGTTCGTTCCTAACACCGTTGCTACAAACGATTTCCCATTGATTGAAAAATTATAGCAATTTTTAAATTTAAAATTTTCTTCGTCATTTTCATTAAACTTTGGATTTCCCAGGAAAAAAAAGTTAAGAGCCTTTTCTTTGACGCTTTCAGGGGGTCAAACCTTGTCTAATGATGACAAAAGTATGTAGAGGGATATGGAAAAGGATGAGCAGATTCCAGAGTGTTCTTTCCAATGGCAAGTTCAACACTCTCGACACAGACGGTAGAAACACATTCTGCAAAAAAGTGCACGCCACATTCTTGCATTCATAAAAAATTGTTTCGTTCATGTCCTCTACTTCAGGCCATGTGCAAAAAACTCAAGCAAAAACTTTCAAAAAAGAAAAAATTTCAAAAAAAAAAGGTTTTTTATGAATTTTCAGAGATATAGTAAAAAATAAAACCTTAAAAGTGGGATAGAAAAAACTGCGCTTATTCAAAAAAAAATACCAGGACCGAAAAGCTTCTGACAAAAAATTTCAGAAAAAAACGTGAAGTTGAAAAAAAGTAAAGGGTTTCAAACAGAAGAAAATTTTTATCACAATTGAGGTTACTTTCAAGCAAATAAGGCCGCGAGAAGATAAACATGAAGCTCACTCGACAGTCCCAGAAGTAGTCGTAAAGGAGTCGATAATGAAGGGTGTAGCCGACGACAAACGCGCAGCCGACGGCGATCGGAGGAGCCGCCAGCCAGGCCGCAAACAGAGCTTGCAGTGGAACTTCTGACAGGACGAGCTGTCGCTTCGCCGGCTCGAACGTCAACGACGCCATCTGATCGATTCAGATGCCGAAATGCCGAAGGTTACGACAATAAAAAGGCGGGCGGCACGCAAACACTGGCGATTCTTTCTCGTTTAGCGCGACGCCGTCGTCGCCTGCTCATTATCACCGATACTCGTCCTGTTCCTTAACTTTGCCTTTGTTCTTTTGCGCTGTCGTTGTTTCATTTCGTAGGGTGGAAGTTTTTGGTTTTCGTCTGATAGTGCGTCAACCGTTTTTCATGCCATTTCATAGCTTTTCACACTTTTTTGTCCTGTAATCCTTGATAAGTAGTAAGAAAACGACTTTAAAAAAAAAGCTTGTGAAAAGTTGTCGGCATTAGGAATTATTCGACTATAGTAACATACGGAACCTATTTTGTGCTTTTCGCGTGATTTCTCATTTCGCTGTTCACTTGAGAACAGTTGGGATGAAAATAAACAAAAACTAAACGATGTGAAATTTGAAACTTATCGAAATTTTCGCACATCTTTTTCAAGTGGAATATAAAAAGCCTTTTGTTTTTTTTTCGCTTCAGATGTCTATGATAATCGGATTTCAACGGGCGGCGAAACGGCTAGAGTTAATCAAAAATGGCAAGGCGACGGAGTCATTTTCCTGTGCGAAATGAACAATTTCCGCGCCTTCGGCCCGTTTCTGGCAAGCAAACATTTTCTATTTGCGCCTATTTACTACAGCCACAACTCATGGCTGCAGTTGCACTTAATTTTTTTACTGGCCTTTTCCCCAGTGATGGCATCTGTTCGGAGTTATCCGGCACGTGTTGGATGTTCGAATCGGCAGCGGCCGCAGTTCCAGTTCTTGTCAGAACTGAGTCACTGTCGGGCAAACACCGAATTCTGAAACGCGTTCTCTGAAATTCAGTTCTTTGCCCCACCTACGGCCGACAAGATCGGTTCAGCCTTTTCCGTGTCCAAACCTCAACTTATTGATAAAAAATCAAAAAAGTTTCAGGCATTTTAGAGAGAGAACTACGCTGAAAAACACTAACAAGGCTTGCCAATAAATACATTTGGTAAAACTTTTTGGGGTAAAAACCTTATAAAGATTCTGGAAAACAGTAATGTCCATCTTAAATTATTTTTTTGAATTCGAAGACATTGTAAAATCTAAGGTGATGAAAAAGAGTTTTTTTTTGGATCATTTCTGGATCTGTTCAGAGAGTCTGTTCTGAATACAGAAGGTGGGAACTTAATGCCACAGAGACCGTGGAAATTGTCGCGAATCGAACTTTTCCGCAGAAAACTTGGCAAAGGCCTCGGGACGTCTTTGTGTTCGATTTCACTGCAACCACACATCGTTTTTCCTTTTTACGAGCGTCTCCTAAATCATTCAGTGATTATTTATAGGCGCGCAGATTTTTTATGCAAGAACCTCCCCAAACTAACTTTCAAAGTTCAATATATGCAGTACTGCTGACACATATCACCGGTTGAAGTTTTTTCGCTCAACTTCTTAGCTTATCTTCTGATTTCCTGGAAGAAGTTGTACAATTTCGTTCTTTGCCTTTAAATGACATGGCGAAAACCATAACTCGTTCCAACTTTCATTGGTTTCCGTCGTCTTCTGGGCGATTGATCTTGAAATCTCACTGTTGTACATTTTTTTTTTTCTCAGTTGTTTTCAGATGTCCCAGAAACGTACAAGTCTTTTTTTGGTCTTGACCAATTAACAACGGCAGCTCAGGTATTTTTCGGGCGTTTTTATTTATGAACGTTCTCGTGTTTCTCCCGCTCGTATAGGGTCTGTCTTTGCCTTTTACACTTGGCGCCCTTCACTTTGCATTAGCTTCTGACCACGCCCAGTTCTGGCGGTTTCCAACTTTTACAAACACAGATGGCTGACCCAAAGCGAGTCCTGCGTCCGCATCGACTTCCGGATGATTGCTGGCGGCTCCTCCTGCTTGTTTACCTTTTTGTTTTCATGCTTATGCACATTCCAATACACATACCTATTCCTTTTTTACTGATCCCGGTTTTATTGTTTAAAACAATGCAGTTCTACATCATTATCAATATTTCATAGCCTATCCCTTCTATTTACTTCTCTTCAGTCTATCTGTTCCGATCGTCAATCATTCAAGGTTAAAGTTCAACAACCTTAGGTGGCGAAAACGCAAAAAACTTTCTCGTGAACTGTTCAAAAACCTGAGGAAAAAGAGGTATTGAGTTTTCCTATTGTTTTCTCGCATTTTCGACTTTTCTCGAGAACACTTTTTTTGAGTTTCTCAAAAGATGTATTTCTATTTACTCAGCCATGTTATGGCATGCTCTGCGCGAGTGGCTCCTTTGATAACACCTCTAGAAAAAATATTTTCTCCGAAAAAATAGAAGTTTTTTTTTGAGAACTACGTTTTCAACGTTTTTAGCTCCTCATGTCTTTAACAATCACTTTCGAAGTTTTTGAAATTGTCCAAGTAATTTTCACGGTTAACATCAGTTGCTGCAAACCCATGCTTCAATCTAAAATCTTTTTGGCTAGTTGGGAAAAGCTGTCTTTTCTTTTTTTGGTTGTTTTCGACCTATGCGCATTTCTCCCAGTTCCTTTGCCAATTCTACTCAATGAAGTCATTCGATCTTTTACTTCGTCAGTATTCTTTTCTTGAACGTTCCTGAACTCTAGCCTTAGGTAAAAACTTAGAAATATTTCTTCCAGCAATCCTAACTTGGCACTTGAAAACGAGCTCGACCTATTCATTTTAAAAGTCCAAGAAAGACATTCATAGCAAATAGGCTCTGGAACGCCGTTCTTTTTCCTTCTTCTGCTTTTCTTTCTGGGCGTTTCTGGCCATTCCGCTCAAGTTGCCACCCGATACATACCCCTCCGTGCATACTCTATAAAGTTGCACGACAAACAAAACGAAAAATAAAGACGGCCCAAAAAAGAAAAGGAGGCCGATCAACTATGGATAAGTGCCAAAAGCGCTCGTTCATCCGGAATATCGGGTTACCATGGGCCTACTGAGTATATAAGAGCACGAAAGAGGAGTTTTAATATAAGGAACACTTTTTTTTTGATTTACTCCTGGAACTGTTTTTTATTTTTCTTTAATACCAAAACTTTTCAACTTAACAACTAGTTAGACTACCTTTTTTTTGAAAGCTTTTCGGAAAATTTTCGTAGGGCACCCCAAATAGGCGGAATCGTTGCTTGTTGGAAAATTAAACTTTTCTTCCTCCAAAATTATCTTATCATAACACGGGTAAATTAGAGTCTTTATCATCATGGAAACTGAAAAAAGATCCCCTGGACCAAGGTTGTTGGCAATGGCTAAACAAGCGATGGTCAAGCGGCGACATTCAGAGGCAACTCGTGCGCGGCTTAGGCGTCGGCGCCGTGTCCGTTCTCGGAAAGCCCTCGAGCAAACAATATTCTGTAGCGACAAGTCGAAAAAACAAAAAGACGTTTGGCACTGCATCCCTGACAAGCGTTAATCTGAAGTCAAGCCCTAACTCACATTTTTCTATGATCATAAGCGATTCAATGCTTGATCTTTATTCAAAAGCGTAGGTGGAGAAGTATAAAATATCTCAACTCAACACACTTTTTTTTTGTAAAACTTCAATATGGCTTGAATAGAGGAAAAAAGGCAGTATGTAAACTCGCTATCTTTAATTAACTTATTTTCACTTTACTCTTATTATTTTTAACATTGACAACTCGAGAACAAGTTTTGAAGTCAAAACCTTCCCGAAATTGAAATCCTTGTTGACCGAAATTGACAGACCTCAGGTAAAAATCGGGTTTTTTTGTGATTCATGAGCATTGAAAGAATGATGAAAATTCAAAAATTCTTCACAAATCCCCCTATTCATCTTCTATGCACGTTCATTTTTCCTTTTTTTTTTTCTTTCATGTTACTGCCTTCTTTCCAACTCAAAGTGCTTCATAATCCACATAAGTTGTTTTGGTTCGCTGAAAATATTTCCTATTTCTCTTTAAACCAAGGACGACTTTCAACACACCGGAAAACTGCGCAATTCAGCCCGAAAATCGAGGCGCCTACTAGTTTACCGAAGATTTTATCGTCACTCTGCTCATCCACCTCTTTCATTGCCGTTTTACGTTTAACATTTTTCTAAATCATCAAGTTTTTTTTTAAACTTTACTACATGAGAAGTCGCCAATCTGAGATGGCTATCTATCGAGTTTTTTGCTTTTTTTCTCATGATTATCTGAAACGTAATTTTTTTCGAGAAAATGAGCGCGTTCATATTTCTTGGATGAAAACTCTGTTGCTGTTGTTTTGCTTCCGAGATACTCAAATTTTTGAATGCCGCCACGAAAACGCCCCCGGGGATCAACAATTTCCGAGTTTTCTTGAATCTTTCGAGCTGCTCAATGACATCTTAGTACCCGTCGTACACACTATTTGAAAAGTAATTCTGGAAGTTTCTTGTGGTTTCAAGGACTGAATGAAAAAAAACTCCGTTACCCTTCAAGTTTTTATTTTTTCGTGAGCAAAACTTTATACGAAGAGAAATTTTCAAAGAGGATAATAACGTCTTACAGGCTGAACAAAAAAAGTTTCAAAATTTTTTCTTGCCATATTTAATCTATTGCTTCGGGTCGAGGTTACGGCGAACTTCATTTTTTTTTTCGCTCTCAATCCTGTCAATTGTGAAGGTCGACAGCCTATGATATGAAAAAAATGAAGCTGTTTATAAGAACTATCTTCTCTCGTCTTCGCTACTTATTCTTTTTGAACGGTTGCACAAGTCCTTTTTTCTTCATAATTCTTGTTCTTTTTCATTAGTCCGTCCAACCTGTTAAATTCGTTTACAGATAATTCGAAGCCTCAACTACTACTAGCTGCATCCTTTTAGCCATAGCTATACTGACGCCGGGATCATGTTGACCGTAACAAGCTCGACCTGAGGTTTGTTCGAAAAAGGGAAAAAATGGACATTAGATACGAGTTAAATTACATATCATTTGTTTTGAAAAGCCTTTTCATTTTGGTATATTTTCGAATCATGAAGTTCCGTATTCAGAAAGTGAAACATAGATAATTTTTGAAAACAAATGAAGATTTTGAGGACCAGTAAACATGAAAATCGTGCTGCTTTTGGCGGTACTATTGGAAATATGTTCGCCACGAAGAACTCATCCCTACAAAGGTCGCAAATACGACCTAACGCTTTATGTACGGTGAGTAATATTGATCTTCCAGTTGATTAAAAAAATTTCAAAGTAAAAAAATACGGGAACTTCGTGTAGATCTTTTCTGAAGTAGTAGAAGAACTTTGAGCGATGATATAGAAAGTCTAGATTTTTTCTTAGAAGAAAAAATAAAAAATGATTCTAGAAATCACAACGTATCCGATGCGACATTCTTCCGACTCGTCGGCGTGGACAACACCGCCGACTTCAATGTGTCTGCTGGCAACACATTCGAGCACACATTTGAGGTATCTTGATCTCTATAAAGATTAAATTTAAAAATGATCACATCAAAGCATACAGTGGGAAAAAATTTTTTTTTAAATTGGGTTAAAACTTTTCGATTATCTTTTCAATTTCGCTGATGTAATATCTTATCTTTTAGCACGAAATGGCGTTTATGCCGACGAAGTTATTTATGTCAAAGAAACTGGTATTTTGGCAGCGAATATCCGATAAAAAAGCCTTCTACAATCTATTTTGATAAATTAACATCGAAATGATTTTCAGGTTAGAAGAAAAGGATATTGGACACTGTTTGTCGAGTTTCCAGGCGATAGATACGCCAAATCTCCGCGAAAGGTGCTTCAGCGTAGAGAGAAAAAAATCCGATAGACAAAATTTCAGATTATATCGCGGGATTCGCACCGCAAGTGGGTAATGGAAGTCTACTACTATCCGGGAGCCGTCGGATTTTCAGAATGGCACAAATTAAGTCGCCGCGGGGAGTTGCACATCAACGGCTAATTTCTAGATTTTTATTCTTAGTTATTTTTGAAATGAGTAAAGTCTCCTTAGAGTTTTGAAGACTCGCTAGCTCGAAATATATCAATTGTATGTAATTAAAAGTTATTGATTTAACCAACATTCTTTCTCTCGCCATTCTGTCACTTTCGTTTTGCGCGATGGAAGCCAAGGGAATTTTTCAATAAATGAAGTCGTTCTGAGAAAAACTTCTTTTTAAGCTTAAAAATTTTCTAACCTTCCAGCGACCAAAGCATTCCTTGTTTTCAGAAGTCTACGCTAGTACTGAAATATAAAATCAGAGCTTTATGGATCAATTCCTACTGCCGACGTGAATAAACATTCTGCCAAGAGTTGGTGCAATCAGTATTTATCATTTGACAAGAAAAAAACAATTTAAAACTCGGGGAAACAAGAACCGGTACGAATTGAAACGGAAAACGAAAGAAATCCTCGCTTTCAATTAAAACTGACTTCAGGGTTTCTCTACATGGAAGGTGAAGGTGCTGTGAGAAACGTTGTACTCCGAAGAACTTTCGAGCATCGAATCAGCCTGGAAAACAGAATTTTCGAGAGTTCCTTTTGATAACAAGAGAAAAATTTCAAGTGCAGCCCAGAGCGGTATATTTTTCATGTGAGCCGAAAAATAAATAAAATAGAAATGACTGTTTCCCCAGTCATACATGGTTAGTTCTTCTAAGCATCAGCCTTTTCATGACCGAGAGGAGAGGTCGAAAAGTTTTTTTCTTTCTCCGTTCGACTGACTTTTTCCCAGTGCCCCAGAGTGCTCAGAAGAAAATTTTTTTTAAGACCATCAACAGGAAAATTCTGAGAAGGTGTTGGGAAGGTAACCAGCAGGAGGTTGGACGGTGTATGGAAGCTAGAAGGTTTACGAAAACCTTTGGAAGGTATTCGGAAGGTAGTTGGAAGCTATTTCGAAGGTGAAAATGGAAGATGCCTTCCAGAAACCTGCCGGAAAACTTTCGGTAGGCTTTTTTCCAAGTAAAAGATGTTGAGAAGCTATGTAGAAGGCGTTCGAGCACTTGCTGGAAATCTTACGCACGTGAGACTATAGGATTACATTCTACAAAATTTTAATCGAAATTGCGATTATACATGGGATAGTCTCGGTGGGATCTGAAAGGGAGAGCGGACTTGCAAAAGATCGAAAAAAATGGGGGGTGTTGGCAAAAAGGGTTACCATTTTTTTCAGTTTCTTGGTGAGCATTTTTAAAAAGTTATGAAAAAAATTTTCTAATCATTAAACAGCTCTAGAGAAATCAAATTTTTTTCATATGTTTAAAAAGCTCAAAATAAAGCTTTTCTATCGATTGTCAGTCATGATTTGCAAAAAAAAAACGGAAAAATCGGGATGAAAGAAAGAAAAGTGACCTTGAAGCTCTCAAGTTCAGCGAGGGATTGCTCCTGCAGATATGGGAAAGTCTGTCCGAGAGTCAGAGAAGTGAGCATCCGCGCGACAAGACTGCGGCCCTGGTGAACCGTAGTTTCGCTAGACCAAACCTCGGGCTGTCGTCTGAAACTTGCTTTCTCAACACATACTCGATAGCATTTTGTAATAGCAGCTCTTCGTTCTAATCAGATCTTCCATTTAATTCGTTCCGATCTTTCTCTATTTCATCATCATCATTTTTGAACTCTTCGCACTTTTTCAGGTGCTGCAAATTGAAGCGAGACAGCGGCAACGTCGTCTGGAACAAGTACTTGTGAGAATCCTCCCCGCGGCGAGAAAACAAGTTCACGTACTGAGCAATTATTTTCCTGTAAACATGAATAATAAACTACGGAAAAACAAAATCTTATCGAAATTATTTTTGACTGACCTTCCAATAATAAGTTCATTCTTCTATTATTCTCGTCAGCAATTGAGTTAAAACCATTAAATTTCTCTCCAACTCGGGATTCGAAGAAAATTGTGCGAAATATTTTCGAAACAAGAAGATGAGGAGATACCTCACAACCTTAAACAAGGCCTTTCCGACTTATTCGCCCCTTTTTGCTTCTCAATTCGAAAAATTAATTTTCTCGTCTGCAATGGGTTTCACCTCTCGAAGTTTCATCGTCCATTTTCTAATTGTACACAGATAGTTTTTGGCAGATTCTAACAGTTTTTTCCCCCGACTGAAGAAGACGATAGCGAGCGGAAAATTAAAATATTAAAAAAACAGCCAAATGTGAATTTTATAAATACAGACAGTCACTTGAATGACAGAATTTACTCTACCAGTTATAGTGAAATTTTCGTGACTGTTCTATGACTTACAAAAGCTTTGAATTTCGACGAACTGAAATCGTTTAAATTGTCATAATTCACGGCAATCAAATCGATTTTAACCCTTCAAGCCCTCAAAATGTTCAGTGAAGTGAAAGTCCTGAAACCTGGTCAGATCGATGAGGTTCCTTCTCGCGTCATCGTTGAGAAGCCGCTCGATATGAGAAACGGCGATGTAGGCGAGAGTGAGAGGGATGAGGGCGAAGGCGCGAGCTTCGGGCTCACTCATGTCCTTGCAGTTGACCTCGCACTCCTTCAACGCAGTCTCCACCTCAGCTTCCGAGAAAAGAAACTGCGACGTCAGGAACTTTGCGATCAGGTTTCTGGAAGTTGCATTAGTTCTCAAAACAGAAAGAGTACATTTATTATTGCTTAAGAAAGTTTTGTCGACCTTCAAGAGAGGTCCTAACGTCTATGAAATGAGAAAAAAAAAAGCTAAAAAAGGGAGGTCATTTTTCTTCGCAGTTGGGATTTTCCTGCAACCAGAAGACGATTCTGAAAGTTCAAACCTGCACAAATTCCTCGTTTTTGAGAAAAAATGCCTTTGAGTCGAAGAAAACCCTCCAAATTAAAATCGGCTATTTAGGGGCTTTAGGCCCTTACTCCTCCTAAATTAGAAAGTTATGCAGGTTGAGACTTTCAGGATCTTCATCTTGTACAACAAGGACTGTTCTTGCTTATTTTCAATAATTTCCCAATCGCAAAGTAAAATGACCTTCCTTGTAAGAAAAGTTTAATTTCTAGGTCATAGATAAACTTGACCTGAAAAAAATCAGAACGGAAAAAATTCTCAATGTCTAAAGCAAAAAAAATGCAATTTCTAAGCATTTCCTTTTTTTTAAATAAATTCTCAATTCAGTTGCAGTTTTAAAGTTTTTTTACGGAAGTCTCGGCACTGAAGCCGAGTTCAACTGAAATGGACGCGAGAAAAACCATTGACAATACAAAAAGAATTCAAACACCTGTTTGTCAAGCTGATTCCGAAGAAAATGTCTGTATTTTCAAACTGAAACCGAATGAGGATATTCGGTTTTGTGTTTAAAAAATCCTAAAAATTGTGTTTTACAACTTATTCGATTAAGAGAAAAAGTTAACGAAACGCCCTTTTTTTCCAACCCAGCCTAAACCCAAATGGCGCAGAACAAGTCTGCGCCTAATTTAGGAAACTTCTTGGCTATGGGCTTTTTTCTTTTTAGTTTGACGAACTTTTCACAAGAATTGAGTAAAATCGGAACACGAAAGGTTTTTGCATTTTAATTGGTGCTGAGTAACCTTCTGCGGCTCTCTACGCCGATTTCCATGATCATCTCGATTGTGTTCAACCTCTCAAGTCGCGGCTGGGAAAAGTCTCCAATGAGCGAAGCTTGGACCAAACGAGCAAGTCTGCTTTTGTTGTCTCCATGAACCTGGAAAACGTTTGATATCAAATAGTAAATGACCGACCAAAGTTGAGTCAGGACCGGTCTTTGAAATTGGTAAATGGCTTCCATTTCTCTTAACATTGATAAAACGTGTACAATAGCAACTCTAATACAGAACTCTACGCATAAAATAGCCGCAGATTTGCAAAAAAAAAGGCGAACGACTGACTCTTTAGTCAAAAATGAGTTTTTTTTTTTCATTTCTCCGATATTTTATTTCTTTGATTACTTTTTTCGTGAAAATGAATAAAGTCCAAAAAAATGAATAATTGATCGTTTTCAAGAGCGCAGTGTTCGGGAGTTTTCCACAACAAAATTTTTTATGGCAAAATATTTCGATGAATCCTTGAAGCGAAGTTTTTATTTCAAAAAAACCTTGTTGTGATAATCGATTTATTTCGCGTTTTCAGTTTATTGCTTATTTACTACCCTGAAATTTCAAAGTATCGATCAAAATCGAAAATAAAATATTAAACGGAATGAAATGGAAAAGTCAAGGAAAAACACAGCTTAACAATTGTTTTTGTTTTAACTCTTAAGAAAGCCCCGGACTGTGATATACCGTGGCGCGGATTCGCCCGTGACGCAGAGCATTCATGAAAATATTGAGGAGACGAGTAGACTGTTCCAGACTCTCGCATCTGGCCAGCACATTCCAAACTTGTTCCGTCACATCCAGCGCCCTGAGTTGTTCATTTCAAACAGACACGCCTTTTGAAAAGACCTCGAGCTGTCGTAGGCGACATTCTCTCTGCTCGAACAGAACTCGATGACCTCCAGGAGCATGTCTTCAACGTTCTTACCGCTCTGAACGGCCTCAACCGCCGGCCAAACCAGTTCGCGCTCCGGTTTATTGAGAACAAGAGCCATTTTCTGGAGAAGTCAACGTCATCATTTCAAAATTAATAAAAACGAATTTCCCACCAAAATGAGGTCGAGTTGCCTGAAGGTGGCGTCAAAGCCCACAAAACGTTCGTCTAGCCAGCCGGGGTCGATTCGGATAGTGCAATTGGACTCGCAGACGGGCTCAGAAAGCACTCCGACACCTTCCTTAAATTGAAACGGGTAGACGTTTTTCATTTGATTCCTTTTTTATCAAGTCAATGAACACACCAATGATTGTTTCCTGGAAAAATGATAAAATTATCAAAAACCAAAAAAATTATCTACATCTTTTTTTATATTTCGACAGGCTTTTTCTTGGTAATCTACGGAGCTTCGAAACTAAATTTTAGTTTGTTTTTAAGTACTCAACCGTAGCAACGAAACTTTGAATCCCATATGTTACGTTCCCCTCAAAAACTCCTAGAAATTTAAATGAAATCTAGTGAGCAGTACTACAGAAAATGCTCCATCACCGATTCAAAAATCGTGGCAGAAAGTAAAACATAGGACTATAACTGAAAAAGTGAAATAACTGAAAAAGTGAAAAAAAAGAAAAAGTGAATTCCTTACCCCTCCTGACCAATTAATCTCGACAGAAAGCGTTCCTGGTTTCACAAAAAGAGAAGACGCCGAACTAGACAGCATCTGTAAGAAATTCATGCAATATCGCGCAGAAATAGACAGTCAGACGTTGTAAAGAGATCGGAATTTCCTTGTCTGGCAAGTCTGCTTCCTGTCGAAAGTACCATTGAGTTGATTGAGAACGAGTTGCTTGTGAGGCAGAAACTTTCCTAGAAGAAAATCATGTCATTTACTTCTCAAATTCAAAAACCCAAAGAACGTGTGATTCCGACAAAATTCTGCTGGTTCTTGGCGACGCCACAGCTCAGAAGCGAGATCGAAGGAAAGCTGTTGTTGTGGACCGCAACCCAGCATGGATGGCTTCGTAGGTCTTCTTCTAGCTTTTCGATTTTCAACTTACCATAATTGTGAATCCTGAGCTTTCAAAATAGCTGTCAAAAAAGGTCAAAAACTGACGAATTGCGAAGATTAACTGCTTCAGAAAGAGATAATGGATTGCAGTCGAACGAATCTTGACTGTTTTCAAAATTTATAATTCCATCTATATCTTAAAGAATTGAAGAAGAAACCAAAAGAAATATGAGCAAACCATCGTCTTTGCAGTTGCTTTTAAGCTTTTCCAAAGTGAGAAAAGAGCATTCTAATGGATTTCCGTCATACTTGATTCGCGAATTCTCTTTATCGTCACTATCAAGAGGATCCGAAATGAGAGGATCATTTTTCTGAACGTTCTTATATGAACTTCGAACGAAATTAACTTTTTTTACCATTGATTCTGGATCGCTTACAAGTTCAGGGAGATCAATGAAAATTAAATAATTTGACGACATTCCAAGATTCGTGAGTGGAGAAAAATCCTGCAGAATTGGAACTTGACTGGAACTCAAAATACGAGCCCGATACTTATTCATCTGAATTCTGCATTCAATCATCATCAAAAAGAAGAAAAAACCAACCAACATAATCGACCTGCTTCCTAACAATCTCCTATCTTTAACATTTGAAGTGGTAATGCCGATATGATTTGAATCAATAGCCATCCCTATAAATTTAGAAAAATATTTAAAAAACAGCTTCGAACTTTTTTTCTTTGCAAATTTACGCCGCGTTCAATGCCAAAAATAACCCGCGGAATTAAATTCAATAGTTTCTTGTATGGATGTTTTGGCCAATTCACGGCTAGCGCGCTAGCCGTGAATTGCTAGCTAGCTTGGCAGCAAAAAGGCGTGGCTTGTCTGCGTTCCCCAACGAGCTTTTTTTCTTCTCTCATGAGGGTCCTTTTTTCGACAGGCCAAGCCAATGAATCAGCTATATTTAGTATTTGAACAGCTCATTTAGTGTTTGTTCATAACGTTTATGAAGTTCGCATGAGACAAAGAAAATCCAATTTTCGCCTCACAACCTCTAAAACTCGCGTTTTTGGAAAAAAAAATTCACAAAGAACTGTTAATCAAACAATGGAGGAAAGAATAGAAAAATTAGAACTTTTTTCGAAGGACCAGTTTTCTTCATTAAATTCATAAAACATGTTTCTGTCAATCGAACAGTCGAGACAAACACCTATTATTATGGAATGAAGCAGCGAAATTAAAGCTACGTCGCGAGAGAGCCAAACGCATTATCGCTTTTATTCATTTCCTCATAAAATTCTAAAAACAAAACGAAAAAAATTGTTTTCGAAATTATAAGAAAGAGCGATATGCCATCGCCTTTTCTCATCAAAATGAAAAAAATGTCAAAATTTATACAAGTGTAGAAAACATGAAACTGAAAAACACACAAAGGAAATTAACAAAAAAAGAGAACAAAGAAATTTCCCATTTCTTTCGTTATTCCGGTCATGGCTCAGGCTTGTGCGTCAGGCAGGGCTTTGGGCCTCAATTTTTCGAAAAAAATTGAAACTTTATTAAAAACGTTTTCACTGTAAACTTTTTTTCTTTCAAAATCATAGTTTTTGTTGAACTCTAAGTGAAAAAAATTAAGCAAAAACGTGACTTTTGTCGTAAAAAAACCTGATATTCGACTAGAAAAACATTTCTCTTTTTTGGGCCGGCCCTCGCACAAGCCTGATTCCGGCTACGCATAGAGCAAACTAGACGTTTGAAAATCAACAAAAAAAAACCCATCACACCTGTCGTTTCCAAGGTAATTTCCGGAAAATACAAAACTTTCTGTGAATGCGCAAAAATTAATTTTTTTTTCACTCTCTGACGGCAATTTTTAATTTTACGAAATCAATTTGAACACGGCATGACTCTATCGCAGGGCCGCAGGCGAGATAGCCAAGGCTTCTTGCTGCGACCTCGTGAAAGTGTTGCTCCTTCTCATAATTAATTTATATAAATGTTTATATTTAAAAAAACACTTTTTCTGGTTTATTCTTGACCTTTGATGCGGATCGATTTCAAGAAGAAGATTTTCAGAGAGCGATATAGCGTGATGTTAATAAGATCGCAGCGGAAGGTGCGCGAAAAAAGCCCGCAGGCGAAACGAAAAATGTTAAACTCATTTCGAATTTGGCGCGCGCTACAAAACTGCTCACACGTCAGACGTAAATCGCACAGAACTCGATTTT